TATACAAAAAATATGCAGAACCGATTAGATTATTTCATATGGCAAGAGCCGAGCACATTTTTCCCCCACAAATGCAGCATAGCAAATAACATAGTAATCAGATTTCTTCACTTTAAATCAATCATTCTTTCTGAGAACATGTTCATAACTCCCGTGTTACTGACTGCAAGGTCGTGGCATAGACATATTTTGCCCCGTGGCCCTGGGATCTGAGCTAAAAATATGCAATCGCTGCCTTGGGAATAAATTTATCCAGGACTACAGGTAGGCCAATTAGCAGTCAATTTTGGTATCAAGTTGAAGCTCTATTCTGCTAGGTAAAAGATGTCCATATTTGGCATTTAAGTCGGTAGTCTTATAATTTAAGGTTGCCAATATTCCAATCGCCTGTTCATAGCAAGGCAAATGTGTATTTTGTTTATTTGGTTTTATCAGATAAAAAAAAAAAATTCTAGTGTAAATCATTATCCTCAGCAGCTATGAACTGCTGTGACTTTAATGGTAAATCTGTATTATTGCAGGTGTATACTAATGCAGAAAAACAATGAATTGCAGTACATGGTCTGAATAGCTTTTGTGTTTGTACTTTTCAGTCAGAGCCTTTCAAGTACCATGACAAATACAAGTCCTTTGCACTTTTCCACGGTGCAGAAGGCAAGGAAATTGCGTCCATTTACCAGGCACAGGGGCAGCTGCCAAAACAATCTTCCAACTATGTTGAACAGCTGGAGTATTTAAAGATGATTTCAAAAGAAAATGAGAGAAGGTATATATATATATACTTGATTTGAAGCTTTCGTGACTGCAGGAATTTACCAGTCTTGCTGGGTCTTTCTCTCCCCCTGCCACCGCGGGGTGGATTTCCACACAGCTCTCTCATTGACATGCTAATTTCTCTGCTCCAGCAGACCCACCTCTCTCTCTGCCCCCCCCCCCTCTTTCCCTATTTAAGACCACGACACAGAGGCATTGGATCACTATGTGCCTATGTTGTGTCTCTCTCTCTGTGTCTGTCTCCGTGTCTGTGTTTTGTCTCTCAAATTTAGTTCTACCTGATGATGATTGCTTGTGTTGCATTCGAAACGTCGTATTATATTATTTAATTTATTTATTTTCTACGTGACTTAACCGAAATAACCAAAGAGTAAGGTATATATAATAATGCACTTTTGCCATGATCTGTGTTCATATAGCAACATGCCATTAACCTGTGGCATTGGTACCATGGTGATGTTTAAGGGTTTTAGCCATTAAGTTATGCAAAGCATTTTCTCACCTTGAGCAATCCTTATGGTTTCACTTGCCTTCACAGCCCAGCTGACATTTTGCAGACATTTTGTAGTTTCTAATTTGAACACGAAAGTAGTATGGCCATTCTGGAGTTTAAAAATATATTTTTAATGTTTCCTGTATGCAAATTAGCTCACCCACAATTCTATGCGAGTGAAACTTCCCTCGTCCACATGGATGTGGGTGAACTTTTATCCTTTTATCATAGCCTTTTAACAGGATTAATGGAACACTTTCGGAAGATTACTGTGTGACTCATTCACAGATGCCTGTTTCCATAAGTGCAGCAAAAATATTTGTTTGAAAAAAGCTCATTGGATGAACAGAAACTTACCCATTAGCATTTCCTCAAAACTTAGCCTGCAATGTATTTTGCTATAAGGTAATGTGAAAATTACAATGATGAGTATTTTGTCTGCTTGTGCACCACTGCAAATACAATTCCCAAATTTTATTTGAACTCATCTTCTTTGCTTCTAGGGAAAACTTGGAGCACATTTTGTTGGTTATAAGCAACATGGAACAAAAGGTAAAAATACATGTTTTTATATGAAAATAAAATTCATACTTGATATCCACTGTGGGGGAGCAGTGGAACATAGTATAAACCTGGTTATCTGTTTGATTCCCAGCCATGGATAACATCAATGAAGAATATCAGTATTGGTCATGGCACCCTCTCCACCAATTTGTACTGACCAGTGTGGTCAAGTTTCGTCAAGCAAATTCCTATGACCAACAACATGGAAAGACCTTCGTCCACTGAAAATGTCACCGGCATTCCATATCCAAATTTGCATCAGGATAATTTCGTCACAATGTTGCCATTTTAAATAATAACATTCAAGAACGCGTTTGTACACCAAGGTGATTGTACATTTGAGGGTAAAAAAAAAAGTTAATAGCCAGAATCATTGTCTTAAAGACATTAAATAATGACAATGCAAAGCTTCATGACATTACTGTATAATCCAAATAAAAAACCCTGCATAAATTATTTTATAGAGCCTTGTCGTTACATGCCAGAACAGCGCCATCTGCTGTTATCCAGCCTGGCTTTGAGCATCCAGTTTATGTGCTTGTATATTTGTGAATTCAGAAAACTCACTTAAATTATTAGCTCTTAATTGTTTTATTAAGAATTTTGCTTTGGTAAAAATAGGTTATAAAGATCGTACACAAAAAAATGTATGTCTAAAATGAAATCCCAAAAGCGAAAATGGCTATAATCTTGGTCTGCTAGTGCAAATTTAGGATACATGAAAAACTGCCCTTTTTACCCCCTTGTGTCCAATTCATGTCACATGCATTTGCCTGAGGGTCACCTTGCTGAGGAGTTTAAACAGCACGATGCTTTTGTAAAGAATAATTTACAACCTTTTTGACAAAATTTGTGAAGTTGCTGTATGTGGAGATTGATCATACTTCATATTTATCGTCATCACAAGTTGGTAAACCGAGGGGCTGGTTAGATATCTCTCAAAACTGATGTTAGGAATAAAAAGTAGGTTTGTACATTCATTGTGCAGTGCACGATACACCTCGGCCACCAAATCACTGCCACTTTTCCAAGCCGCATGCTTTTCTAATTCTTGGGATGGTCGGTCATATGCTTCTGTGATTATCTTCAGAAATTACTTTACTCTTTTCAAATGTTTAATTTTCACAATTTAAGTGCTCGTTTGCTTGCATTCCTGATTGTCAGATAAACGAACTTCAAACCTGAGCTGACGAGAGAGCGGGAGAAGAGAGAACTGTTGTACTCCGGAATATCACAGATGAACAATCTGCTGCAGGGACTTGAAACCAAAGTTGTCAAGCACAATGAGATTCTGGGAGAAGTCCTAAACCAACAGGTAATGATAAATGGAAACTTTCAGAATCACCAAAATAACTTTCACGAATTCCAGAGTCGTCTGCTGGGTGGGCAGGCACACTTCGAAGCACACATGAGTGAGCTCCACGAGGAAATCAAAAGCGTAGCAGCAAACCAGAAAAACTTGGCATTTCAACACGGCTTTGCCCAAACCAACCGTGCTTTGTCCACCGAGCAACCAGCCAGATGCATGCCTCAGGTAGTGTATGGTAATAAAGTGGAGAAAGTGGATCCAGTTACAGATGAGAAAGTTACAATGGAACTGAAAGAACAGGTGTTTCCGAGAGCTGTCAAGAGATTGAGTTCACAGGCGCAACCTACTAGGACACTTATCAATCATTTGTGCTTAGAAGACAATTCGGATGACGATTCTGATGACGAGGGGTATCCTCTTCGCCTTATACAGTTAAAAAAGAAAAATCCTGTCGGTGAAATAAAGTGTGAAAGTAAAAAGGGTCACCCTAGCTGGAGACAAAAAGAAATACCTGTAAAAAGAGTTAAGCACGCAAATCAAAAAAGTGTTGTAAAGTCACATGCTTGCAGTTTCTCTATGGCAAACCAGGTTTCATATTCAAAAAGGAATAAAGTCAACGATGTGACACAAGATAAAAACATCTCTAGAGAGGGCACACGTGTTACCTCAAGTCCAAATTGCGAATCATCCGGGTCATCAAACTCCGGTGAATCCAATAACAATGGTTCGTTATATTCAGATACAGTTTCAGCACGCAGTGGTGGTATAAGTCTAGAGCAAGAATTGTGGGATCTATCTCCCACCACCTCACCTATGTCAACAGCATGTATTTATACCTCATGAATTTAATATTCACAACAGACATCATTTGACAAGGTTCCTTGCCTGTAACATCTGGCAGATGAGCATTGTATCAAGCAAGTCAGGACTCCTCATGAGCCGCAATGAATGTCAAAATTTATCCAGTTTCGCTTCTATTGAATGCTGCTAAAATTAGGCACTCCCAAGAGGCCGTGCGGCCAATGAGCTGTGTAATAAATATTCTATTTTCATGGAGACATGAAAGACTTGTCTGCATGTTATATTCTCCAATGCAAATGATAATTTTTAGTTAAACATTTGATTATTTTCAAAGAGAATATACTGTTTACAACATACTTTGACTGAAATGTTGTATCTGTTCAATGTGTTAAAGAGTTCCACATGTAGTGATGTGTTAACCAGACATTAGCTTAGTTTATTTTCTTGGGCTTGATGGCATCTCTTTAAAGCACGTGGTTTTCAATTGCATAATTTTACATTTCTTAGCAACGTTGAATCACAAAATACAAATCTTTATAATCGATTTGAATTAATCTGCATGTTAAAATTGCTTACCGTATTTATATTAAAGAAAACCCATCTTCTTGGTTCTTTCGGTAAAGTCACGTAGAAGGGAAGTAATAAAATAATAAAAATAAAACATAATAAAACAATTCTCACGACGTTTCGGCCACAACGCAAGCAGCCGTCCTCAGCCGTCCTCAGGACGGCTGCTTGCGTTGTGGCCGAAACGTCGTGAGAATTGTTTTATTATGTTTTATTTTTATTCTTTTATTACTTCCCTTCTACGTGACTTTACCGAAAGAACCAAGAAGATGAATCCCTGCAGTCACGAAAGCTTTAAATCGAAATTTAAAGAAAACCCATTTGTCAAAGCCAACAGAGTTTTACAGATATAAAATGTAAACCAAGTTTTACAGAAAAGTTGAATTTTTTGTTAAAACGTTAATCCTTCCATGTTTTGCATTTGTTGTTGGAATAAAGATATTTTCGTTGGTACGTGTGTGTGGATAAAACGCAATCCAAACTCATGACATGTCATCCTTCAGTTCTTTATTTAGATTTACAACCATGATGCCAATGTTTAATTCCTCATCAGAACATGATAAAGATGACCATACTATCGATACTACTGTGATACATTGTTCAACTTGAGGATCATAACTGTAATAACTCGTTAAAGATTAACTACGTTACTATATCATTGCACAACGGCTACAACACCAGGCAGTTATCACGCTACAGTCTAAAATGTGGTCCAGTCCGCTTCTTTAAAGCAGCAGGGCAGTTGCCGAATAAATTACAACCGTTTGTGGTTCACTTTTTTCCACACCATGTAAACTTGCCTACTTTAGCAGGAATGTTCGTTAAAATGAGTGCTTTTCAACTTAGAAAGTGCAATCAAAACTCAACTTCAAAAGGAATTTGTTACTCTTAATACTGTACTGTTTTACTCCAAACAGATTCATGGTTACTTCATGTTTTGGACCGTTATCAGTGTCAAACCTCTGCGTGGAAAATCACATCTGCTGCCGCCAGCTTCTCTGGGAAGCCAATCTAAGCGTGTCAATTATCAGCCATTCTTTTATAACTTGGGGTAGCTGTAGTGAAACATTTGAATTAGGTTCTGTACAATTCACTTGGACCACCTGCAGTTGTAAATTCGCAAGTAGGGTACGTTAACACAAATATAATTACATGCAAATTGCACCGTTAACTCTTGTCCCAAAAAAAGAATGTCACGAGCGTCGTTCTAGCTGAATTTCCTACAGGACTTCATACAGTTGCAACATGGAGACTTACGTACGTCACTGGTGAAGAGGTGTGAATTGGTGTGGTTTATTGGCTAGGCTGTACCGACAGCCCAACTCGTGGGAGTGTTGGGTGTAAGGAGGGGAGTGGGAAGGGAAGAGTTTAGGGAAAAAGTGAAAGAAGCTTGATAGGGTTTATTACTGCTCCTCTTCCCCAAATATGTCGTTCTTCTTGCGCTTGACTTCTTCAAAGTCGAAATCCGCGCCCGTCACGCGCTTGTATATGTCCTTGATGTCGTTGCACGTAGTCTCAAAGTGAGTGGTGGCGTCGTAGGAACGCGAGATGAAAATCTGAACAAGTGGAATGAGACATTACAAATCGAAATGTTACGTTGTACAATAGTTGATCCAAGGTGCAGACACGACTGCCTCTCAACTCGCCGTTGCAAATAGGCGAGACATGATTTTCTTTTGAGCAAAGAGAAGAGATTTTTTAAACAGATTTTTACAGGAAGATCAGAAGGAGGCTTTGAGCAAAGGAAGTGAACATTTGCTCTCAAAAGGAAGATTCCACATTGCTGTAATGATGCCAAGTTAATGAAATGTTCTGGAGAGATGTTTTGATTGGTAGAACAGTATGTAAGCTTCAACAGTAACATTCTTCCAGTCATGACTGCAGCATTTCTATGACGAACAAGCAATGCACCATTACCTGGCTTTCGAGTCCAAGATCGGTGGGTTCGTACATGTCACAAACAGTGACAAACCTGCAAAGTGAGAGGTTCAAAAAGCTTAAATTAATACTTAAACCGCACAAAGTGGACACCTACTTGAATAAACATAACAATGGATGTGGTTCCCATCCTCTTCGCTGCGGCAGGTTCATGAACCCATCTGTGCGGAAGTTTGAATACCATCTGCTCGTATATGTGTCTCTCCCAATGTAAATTAGGGAGAAGTGGTCAGAAATTCCAATGTAGTTCTCTACTGATAATGAAGCTACCAGACTAATTGCTTTAAAAATGACATGTAAAGGTTATAGTAAATTATAATAATAATTAAGGTGTTTACTTGCACAAATCCAGCATGCTTGGGTGTTAGAATAAAACCACTTAGTCTGGCACTTAATGGCATTGCAAAATTAATCCCCTTTAAAACGTCTGACAATTATATTTAAACAAATTTGCAAGCTTATGAATTATAATTATAGTGCAAGAGCAGTGTGGTCACTCAGTGCAAGTTGACTGAGAAGCTAGTCATGCCCTCCAGGTTTGTGGCAGTACCCCAACTAGAATACTTGACGAGAACTAAAGAGCCACTTCTATTGCGGCGACAATTTGGCAAACATCGATGTTCACTTGTCAAAGTCAAAAGAGTACCCACTTGGACTTTGAGAGTCAATTTAAAGGATTTAAAAGCCATAGTTTTGCTTACGGACACCACCCACAGTGGGTTCTATTGATTTTTTTGGCACCATGGAAACAGAACTTGAGTTTTTAAAAAGGGCAGGTGCTAGGTGGCCTGGTGACTCGGAGGTCAGCAAGCTGAGCTGGCAGTATTGAGATCCTGGGTTCAGATCCAGACAATCATCTGTGATGAGGCCGGGTTGGCAAGTTTTGTTGCGAGTTTATAGTCTCAGCATGATCACCGATGTCTGCACACTAAAAAACTAATGAATTTGCTTTTGCACCATGGATATATTCCAGTTCTGAAAATGTAAACATGAGAATGGCAAATGTGACAATTATTACGATCATATGCAGAGCAGAAGAGAAGTGCTGCTCCCTACTATGTGGACCAGAGTTCACTTAAAATGATCTCAGAAGCAGGCGTTACATCGACTTTAACATGATGGGATGCAATGTCGCTGTGAGAGATCCGATTGGATTCTTTGTCCCATGAAATTACACCAATATTGTTTTATTTTTCCAAAAAGCCACACCGAGTAGTCGGAGCTCGTTTTCATAAGGGTTCTCTGCATTGGGTTTTATTTTCAGATGTTTTCAGCCAATTCACGTGCTTACAAATGGGAGGAAACTGGAGCGTCCGGAGAAAGCCCACGCCTTGCGTGAGGGGGCAACACCATCCCCGTACAGATGAAAAACAGATGGCAATTAGTCCACTTAAAGGAACTACCTTCTCCAGGCGAGCCAGGGATATGGCACCTTGCTAGCAAAATGGGGGTAAACAAAAAAAAAATCTAAACAACAGGTGGACCCGATTGGGTTGCCACAGTTGACCCCGCTTGAAGCACTGCGTCTCCCCAGGCAGCTCTGCTTGCTGCTCACTTCTGATCGATGGGCTCTAGCAGCTGCAGGGCCGGCAACACCTCGGCTTCGGGGTCTTCCGTCTCCACGGTGGTGCTGACGATGGCGATGTACTTCCCCTGCGCCGCGACGTTGTGCGCGAACGAGATCATGCACACGTAGATGTCTGGGGGGGGGGGGGGAAGGTGGCAGAGGGGAGAAAACGCGTCGTTAATGCAGCGACGATCCTATTTGTCGTTCACTGGTTCAACCATCTTGTGCGAGACAAAACCCACAAACATTTCTAAAGCACACCTGCAGAAGCACTTTCAGACCGACAGGATGATGATTTTGCCAGTTTAGAGTTCACTAATACCACAAATCCCCTTTCTATGGGTACAAGTACAAGACAACAGATATTCCAATAAGTAGACAAAACACAAAATACACAATGCTAGATGAAGGCCTCTCCATGCTGTCATGGTGGTCATTTAAGCATGCTTCAAGCTGGTCAGTGCGAGTTTAAGTGGGGAGACGAGAACAAGTAAGCGTATCACCACCGACGTTAAGTCATGGCCAGAAATCCAACTCAGGTGGCCTGGGTTCATAGCGCAGTGTGCTCACCACCGGGCCACTGCTCCAACCCATGAAAAAAAAAGATTAATAAATATTAAGTAACATCTAGTAAATAAATTGTTTTTGGAGCACAAAGATTGGTTGTAGTTATATGTTACCAACATGGTTCCTGGAATAAGTACATTTGGAGTAACTTAATAGTAAAGGACAACCATTTAGTCTTCTCAACTTCTCTCGGAACTCAATTATGTAGTTTATTTGCCGAAATACATGAGGGATGACAAATGCTTGCATAATTCATTAATATACTTTTTATAGACCTTTTTCTTTTTAATGCTCTTTGGAAGTGACATTCACTTTGTATACTTGTACTTTTTATGAAGATTAGCACTAATTAAATACTGTCATTTGTTAATTAAATATATTCAGTGAAATCATCCTTCATCTCAGCACGGCTCTATGCAGCTATTTTAAATGTCCATAAATCAAATTAAGAACGTGTGTACAAAGCATTTGCATGTCCAACTACAGCAAAAACCGAGTAATGATTTTATAATATACTAGCTTTACAGTTTAACACGTAGGCTTTCGCGACCAATATTATTCATAATCAACGTTTTTAGGTTAGATCGCGTTACTTATAAATGTGTCGTAACCCTCCACCATCCGACACGGCCGATCAGCAAAAAAGTGTCACGTTGACAAAAGACAAATAGTTCACTGCTTTAGCCCACCGGTGTGTTGAAGCGTGAAACCACAACATTTACAATTTTTGAGTACAACGTTTCGCTGGTAATTGCATCCAGCATCATTGGGCAATTCGTGTCGGGTGGTGGAGGGTTACGACACATTTATAAGTAACGCGATCTAACCCAAAAACGTTGATTATGACTAGCTTTACAATCCGGCTTTGCCCAGGACTTGAATTCACCACACCCGGCAGCCTTTGTCTCCCCAGTGGCGATGTTCACACACCACACCTGTTACTCGTTTGAGGCTGAGTCGACATAGGGGAGGCCCAGGACCAGTTCAAATAATCGTCACCAGTGTTGGCCGTGAGCGGGAATCGAACTTGGGTCGCCGGGTTCATAGCGCAGCGCGCTAACCACTACACTACAATGCGGTACGCTTCCACATGCGCGGGTCACGTGACAGATTTGACGTCACAGCTCAATTGATGTGCAAAAAATATATGCAAAAAAACCCTAAAGTGTATTTTTTTAATTTTTGCACGGTGTACAGTCTGGAAAGTACTCACATGGCAAATTTCCAGTTTGTTGCATGTTGGGAAGTACGCTAAACATTTTGAACAGACACACACATTCACAACTTTGCCTTTTTTATGTATGGAGATGGAAAATCTAAGGCTTGTAAAAATTCATCATCTCTTGTACTTGTGCCAAAAGAAATGCCAAGGCCATTTATGTAACTGCACAAGAAAACCATACCACCTCCATTAAAATGCTTTGAGGATGCACAACACATCTTCAGTGTGGCACCATGGTCTATGAACAGTGACACCTCCAGTGTAGGTGAAGGTGTACCTCATTACATTTTAATACACTGCGAGAATTGTGGGCTTTGCTTTTAAAAACCTATTTGGGTATTTGTTCTTTCTGCAATGCTGTTGAGAAAGCAATCTTATCGTGTCAATTTCACTTAATGCACCTTTACTCTGCAACAGCATGATAATTGCAAATCCCTGAGTGAAGAACAATTTAAAAAAATACGTAATTATTTAGGCGAGATTGAAGCAGGAGTAATCTATCTGCATGCGGCAACAATTTGAAAATTGCGAAACAATGCTGCGTGTTCCAACTTGAGGATATTCTGAAAAATGATTGGGATGATAGAAATGTAGAAGGCTCGTGAAATTTCACAAAACTTGCGTTAATTCGAGTTGCTGCACGATTGTCGACCTAAGCGCGACACCCATCCAACCACCTCCGGTTCCGCTCCGGTTGTTGTGATTTGATAAGGGTGACAAGGTTGGTAAAAGTGGAGGAGTAAACTATACTTATCTTAATATAGCATATGCAAATAACCAACAGATCGCAGTCAACAGATGACACATCGGGAGACAGTGTTACCGTTAAAATAATACCATTTTCAATTATGTCTTTGGGACCCAAGTAAGCCACCAGTCAGAAGCACTTATGCAATCTCCTCTGCAATTTAATTTAACCGCTCCTTCGATTGCTTTAACTGCAGAAGCTGGTCAAACTCCTTCCACACAATCATCTAAATCATGTCAACTGCACATTAACCAAAAAAGTAAATAGTCTCATTTTGCTGTATTAATTTAACAGCACAGACAACTACATCAGAAACCACAAGGGGATGACTGGTAACACTTTGCACTGATCAGGCAATCTCTCTTTACCTTCTTGGATACAGTTTGTGCACAAGTGGATTATAAACTCAATTAGAGTGTACACACTCTTGTCGCTGTTGGAAAATGAACAACTTAACTGATGCAAAGGAAAGACTGTGCGCGCCTCTGTTACCCAGCTGTTATTTTTTCCGCGCTCACCTCGGTGAGAACATACGTGCGCGTGCTCACCTGACTTGCGGTTGACCTGCGTCTGAGGAATGATGATCTGGCAGGAGTTTGCATCGTTGGTGTCCTTGATGGGATGGCTCAGGATGCAAATAACACGCACCACCTGGCCCGACTTCTTCACGTAGTCGGCCGCGTAGCTGGCATCGCAGATCACCTGCTTACACCGCGCCACCTGCGCACAACACAGCGGCGGCACACATCATTCTCACGATGGTTTCCCTCGAACAAACGGCGTTAACACCGCCTGGCTGAGAAGCGGTCGATGTGATAACAAAGGCTTGTGGTCAGTTAAAGTCAGCCGAGGATTTGGTTAACCAACATTATTACAAGTGAACAAAAAAATGGGAAGAACTGGCAGTGGTGTATACTGGACATGTGAAAACGAGCTACAGAGCTCATCGGATTCCTCCAGTCCAAGTAATGATTCCGATTGCTTATAGGCACAAAACACTGGAAAGGGGACTATAGAAATCCGAAATAGAATAGAAAGCATACAACAACGCATCACCTTTATCAATAAACACTGCCTTATAACAAGAAAACATAGGCTCACGTTTCTAGCAAAAGCCATTTAAAACAATGGCCGTGAAATACTATATTCCCCCAAAAACACAAGCCTATGATGTATGTTTGCGTTATAACACAACGGAAATGATACCGAGTGTAGACAATTCAGATGCTGAGTCACTTGAACAACTACCAAAATTGCCCGGTCCTTACCTGACCCTCGGACTTGACACCAACCACCCGTCCATTCTCCATCACAATCTCCTCCACGGGCTTGTTCAGCATGTACGTTCCACCGTAGATGGCGCTCAGCCTGCGGCAGAGGACAGCCTCAGACAACCATAATTCTAGATTTGAAGCTTTCGTGACTGCAAGGATTCATACTCTTAGGTTTTTTCGGTAAAGTCACGTAAGAAAAAAAAGAAAAAATAATAGAAATAAAATAATAAATCACGACGTTTCGGAGGCAACACAAGTCTCCGTCATCAGGTGGGAACGTCACAGCTGAATTTGTGAACCTTCCCGAAGCCAACTCCATATTAGTCTCGGATAATGCGGTCACTACTACAAGGACAAGTCGAAAAATGTAAAGGCATAACTTTTTCATTCTTTCTAATCAAGGTCGAAATCGTTGATGTAATAGCTGTCCATCTGTCCATAACGGTGGTGGGGGGGGTGACAATTCTCGTGAAGATTATCAAATATGAAAGAACTATAGAATAAAGTTGTGTTGCTATGATGGACTTGCCCCTTGGAGAACCAAGCCCAACTGATCAAAGCAGTGGCCACATGTACGATTCTAATCAGAGTATGTGCAAATATGAAAATGAATATTCCCGGAGAGTTACCTGTCCCCGCTGCCGTACTACCAATTAAATACTTCCAAACACAAACACAAGTTGGAGAGAGCTACACAACCCATGTGTGGCCATGAATTTTCCTTAAATGTTGTTTCTGAAAAGTTGTAAAATTTGTGATTGTGAAGGTATTTTCACCTAGAAAAAGAGCTTTAACAGAACTAAATTTTCTAAAAACAAGTGCAGAGGTCATTCAATGAATTGGCTCTCTCCATTGATTTTCAGCGATATCCCTCAAATACACGAGTTTTCTCCAAATTACCCCCACAAACATTAACACTCAAACGGAATTGGCCAAACATCCCAAATGCAAGAATTTCGAGAGACTCAGGCTTTCCTGGGTAAAAGAACATCGTCGTTGTTCGACGTGCGGCAACAAAGGGTCACACAAACCTGGCGAAGCCCTGTGGAAGCTCCCCCAGACCGTAGAGAGGGTAGAGGTAAGGGCTCTTCCCGTAGCGTGCCAGTGACTCGCTGTACAGCTTGATGCGGTTGATGGTCTCCAAGCATGGCTGATCCAAGTAACTGTGGCACAACGGCGACTCTGCTCGGTGAAATTTGTCGCCGCTCGCACTTGCACGTTCAGCCACCGCGCACTTACTCATCACCATAAAAGTCATTGCAACACTCACACGTCTCCTTACTGGAATTCTCAAAATTGTGTCGGTAATTGCACGTTTGTGTACTTTCACAATTACAGCATTGAAATGGTGTTAAAAGAATAAGCTTGTAGTTAACTGATATGTTAAAATTCGAAAGTTATTAAAAGTATGTAACATAGTAGTTTAAATAATAGGAGACTGCATGGACAGTTATGTACCCCACAAATCAACATGCATTAAACTCACCACGTTCACAAACACTACAGTATAATCTTCAATTGTATATATCGTTGGATAATAGTTTGAGCAATGGCCCTTCACTCGTTACAGTTTCTTATATTTTATGGCATATTTTTATCTGCATATATGTTGAACTTCTTTCGCGCCATACGTAGCCAGCCGTGCTAATCGGAGGTGCCAAAAGGCAGTGATGAGGCAGTGTTGAGGACAAAAGTGGCAGGTCATTTCTGATTAAGGGCCACAATCCTGAAAAATCTGTTTATATAACCACTGAATAGGCAACAAGAAAAACTTGATCGCATGCGTTCGGCTGCAACCGCTGTTGATGCGTGCACTGGAGGCCCTCACTCGTCGGTGCGGTAGAGTGCCAACGCGTGGCCCGTGAAATCAATGACATCTTGTCCCAAGTCAAACTTCTTGTAGACATCACGCATGGTGGTGGTCTGCGGGTCGACGCCCTGGTGGGAGTTGGGCTCCTTCTCGTCAAACTCTGCCACAAATACCAAGAACTTGCGGAAGCGGCGCTTCTCGAACATGCCCATCAGGTCTGCACGCAGGATAAAGACAAATACACCCCCCAAGTATAGCCTTAACAGACTGTTGGGGAAAGTGCTGCTAGCTAGCACCTATGAAGGCCAGCACGGCGCACGAGGGGATGGGTGGCCAGCGCCACGCCTGGCTGTCTTTGTCTCCCCAGTGGGCACACACATAAGCACAGCCGCGTAAGCGATAATATGCTATTCCACAACTGTCCTTTACGGCATGCCAAAAGCTATTTTTATTAATGATTTCCAACGAAGCTTGAAAGAGTTAATGCATTAGCTGTCTGTAACAGGAGGGCATAACTCTCAAAGGTGATCCAATAGGAAACAAACACCAGCGAAATTGATCAAAAGGGTGCCCAAAACTTTGGAGCCAAAACCAGCGCTAAAAGGGTATAATTACACTGACGTCATCTCGTGACGCCACACGTCACACACCGTGAAATCATTGCTGCGTGGCTTTAAACGTAACGTTATCATTGCCAATATGTATAAACACTCATGATTATCTGAAAACATGGTAATATATAGAAGAATGAAGACCTTTGGAAATTCTTGATACCAGCTCGCTTCCTGGCTGCCTTTCCGCTTGTCTGTGGTTCGTTAAGGTTGTGAGATGCAATTTGCATAAACAAGATTGCATAATATAAACATAATTTTTAAAAATGCTTTCGAGGACAAACGCCTATTGGAAAGCATCACTGAATCGATGCACGTGCATGATCCTTCTTCCTTGCTAATATAGTCGAACAAGAGTATAAAATGATGGTGCAAGTGCAGGAGGGGACGCTGCTCACTGGAGGCGAGGGCCTCTGTCTCTGTGGATGGAACCTTGTAGATCTTGCCTCCCTTGTAAACAAAGCTTCCGTCCACCACCTTGAAGTCGAGGTAGCGCGTCACCTCCGTGTACAGCAGCATCTTCACCAGTTGGCCTGTGGAAGAGGGGAACATCCAACCACACACTAGTGTTAACAACAATCACCCGACAGAGCTTCCTGTTGTGCATGTACAAATACAGTTCTTTGTCAATCCACTGCTGGATGAGGGTCTCAAATTATATGTTGTGTGAGATCGTAAGAATATCCAATGGGTGTGCATCAATATTTAGACAAATGTGTAATGGAAATTTACACGCATGGAGGAAAGGCAGATAAACAGCAATACTGATATATTCTACAAGCAAATGGTTATCTATGCTGCCAATTATTAACCAAGGCCTATGCATATTTGTTACATTCTAGCAGGGAATAAACATGGGAAACTAAAGAACAGACAATGCCCACCTTGAACCTTGACAAAAACAAGTAGTTAAACCCATTTTACTGCACCCCATTCAGTAAACGGAGCAATCGTCTCCAACTATTTCAGCGAGCGAACAAGTGTGGTATGAAGTGATGGTGGGTTCAACGGTTGCAGAGTGACGTGCCCACAATGGCTGCAGCACGTGCCATTAGCCATGAGGAACTTTGGGATGAGGTCGACGTTCCAGTCACGTCCGCGGCCCATCGACTCCGGGGGTCCGGCAGGCAGGGTGAACCGCTTGTACAGCTGCGGAAGAGCGCACGCGTGCCGGCTGTGTGCAACAACTCTATAGAGAGCGATGCTTAAAATATGCCAGCCACCACCAAAACAGGGGCTTCTCCTCCTCTAGAGCAGGCCCCACTTGAACACAGCATGAGCAGCACATAAGCTGCACAAAGACGCAGTAATTTATAAATCGCCGAAGCGTTTCGTGGCTATCAGGCCCAAAAGTAGAGATGGCAGCGGTGGCAGTGAGACAATGGGACGTGATCTCCAACCCAATTAAGTGGTGTCAGCGAAGGGATTCCCACAGTCAGGCGTGGATGCTACTCTGCAAGTAATGTAAGTACCATTAACTCAATTAAAATACCAACACAGCCATCATGGACAATAGACTCGGGATTTGTAAAAAAAAACCTCAAGCTTTCAGCATCTTCCCAAGTTAAACTGAATAAATTAGATATTAATTCTGAGATGTATAAGGATACTCTTAAGCATCGGTGTTTTTGTGAGGGCAAGAAAATATTTGGCTTGTTTTTTTTTCATGGACAGAAGCTTCCAACTCGTTATATAAGGCTGCAGTTGGTGAACATCGTGCGTTGTGTTGCAGAGAATTCAAAGCCTGAGCTGCAACTGCCAAACATTCCACTTGACATTTTATTTTCAAGTGCTTGGGTTCATGGCATTCCAATGGCTGCTTGCAACTAAGGGCTGTTTGTGTGAAATTGATTTTATTATTTGTGAATTGTTATAAACACTCATAAAACATGACTGCACGTGATCTTGCACACGTTCATGGGACCGTAGTGTCTTCACTCTGCCTCACAAAAATACATGAAGCCCTTATTTATATGCCAGCCAATCTCCTACATTTAAGCACAAACCTTGGTTCAATGCCAAAGGACCACACGTAAAAACCAAAGGGAGATAGTAAAAAAAACAACCTGCAGAGAACGAGCCAAGCCAGTGTTTGCTATGTTGAGGCATTTAGATTTAAAAGAATGGACAGATTAATTGTTTCAACTCAGGACCGTGGCAGGTGGTGATAGCTCACGGAGACCTACATCCAGCAGTGGACCGATTATGGCTGATGGTGATAACGATGATGGGAATGCACAGAAGCACAGCTGTTACATATACAGTGCTGCAGATTTTTTACACAGCAACTGTTGACTTCACAAAGTACAAGTGGATTCATCTGGCTAATCAGGGCCTGCATAATTCCCCGCTCACAAATGTACATTCAAACATACCTCCTCCAAGGGCGTGATGGACGCGCTATCACCACCGTAGTAAGAATTGCGATCCATGTGCAAAACCTTCTTCCCGTTGACGGACATGATGCCTGACAGAATACATTCCTGCAGATGATGGAAACAGTCAGTGCATCGCCATGACTACAAAAATCCAAATGCAATTTGCGTTTCTGTATATTCCTGCTGAGTGTTGCCTTTGGAGGAAGTGGCAACACAAGCACCCAATATAATTTTCATGTGCACGCACCTAAAAACAAATCCCATTTCTAGGAATGTCTGTATTGTTCATTGTTCTTCTCCTTGGGTATAATATACACATGTCTTAACACATTTGACTGGGCTATTATTAGCTGCACCAAATGCTGCAGGCTTACAGTATCTCAAAAATAATCCAAACCTGGACAACCGCTTTGCCAGTTTGCACACAATGGATGCCTTATTAAACAGGCAATGTTTTTATTTCAGTTTGCACTTGCATCATAACTCATTTTCAGTTGGCTTTTAAATTACTTGGGTCTTCTGCTATAAAACACCCATTTCAGTGTTTCACCTTATCTGCTTTTCATGCACCAATAATGCAAGCATTAAATTAAGTGAAACAAGCATATCAATTATGCAAAACGTAACTGTACAGAAGTGCGGCAGCTGGTGGGTGCTGTACATTACGGCTACACCCAACGGAAATCCCCCAAAACCTCCAGGGTTTGTGCCCTTAAACAGTTAGCACGAGGCACGCGGTGCGTGATTTCATAGCCCAGTCTGGAGGGGTGGCTCAATATATGGTGTTAATCTGTCACTGCTGTATGCCATTATTGATTGCAGGAAAAAAAAAGTATCTGTTTCATCTATATAAATGATAATAAAAGGCTTATTTTGGAGGCATGCCAGAAGAAAATGTTGCTGAAAGCATGTCTTCTCCAGTATCACTCAATGACCAATCTCTCTGCCAGTTCACCAATTATATCAGACGTTTGGTGGAAAAATGGTGAGGGGGTAGCTTTTTGCACCAGTGTTAAATCTAAATTTTAAAAATCCCAACGCATTTGGCAAATATTTTTTTTCAAGAAATGAATGGTGGTGAGTGGGGGAGAACACGGAATAATGATCCCGTGTCCTGTCGTCTGGACTATTCAAAGTGTTAAAAATGAAAATGGCAGCAGCTGCTGCCCAGTCCGCAGGGGTGTGTGCTCGTACAATGCGGACGTTTCCCCCACAAGCTAATAGAAGACATCAGTGGCGACTCTCTCCTGGGAGGGAGGGAGGGGGGGGCACAACACAAATAGGCAGTGCCGCACACCTCAGCATTGTTCCAGAAGCCGCATTCGAGACAAATCAACGAATAAAGTCAAAGCAACAATAACAAAAAAAACCCGCTGCGTTACATGTGTGTGGCAGGGTGTGGCGAGGTAAGGGCAAAAAATTGTGATTTAAAAAAAAATACGATGGGTGCATTTTCCCAGTGCGAATTCTCAACCCAAATTTTCGCAGCAGCCTCAACATCTGCTGCTTCACCAGCAGCCCCACTGTGTAAATAACAGCAAGTGGCACACGAGGAGCCACACCTAACACACACGACGTCTCTCGCATCCGCCATCACCATTCCACATGAACATTTAGAGATACGGCGGGGTTATGTTGCCCGTGATTTGGGCAACACGATTGCGTGCAACACAGCCAGTGGCAATTTACGCCGTGTCAAAAGCAGCATTTACATCCGATTTGCCGCCTCAAACAACAAAAGCAGAATTTTGTCACACGTACCCTATGTTTTAAGCCCCTATGGTTTGTGACGGTACATCGTGACGCCCAGATAATAAACAAATGAATGCATTTGCAATTGGCAATGAAATAAACAAGATACTTCACCACTGTGTGTTTTGCAGAGAACAATGTTTACATCTTAAAGCCTCCGATTTCTAGACTCAATTCCACAAATCGATCAAGTAGCCCTATAAATTTGCTACGCGGTATTAAAAAAAAACCCATTAATGACAACGCATCCGCACTCTACACAGTGCACTGTGACATCAGATAAACATTTTATCTAAAAGACTAAATAATATTACATTACATCGAAGGCAAAAGATTTCGGTTGTCGTCACTCGGCTGCTCTGAATACCTGACACGTCATCGCTTCCAACACCGCAAATGTCACCGCCTCGACACACGGACAAACCACAACGCAGCACAATCACGACGCAATTTGCTCAAATTTACACATTTTAGTTCGTAAAAGGAGCTCCCTCACGGCTGATTTAGCGATGTTATTTATTGTTTTGCTTTAAGATAACGGCCCGGCAGCCATGAAGGCCCGTGCGTCTTCCCGCGGAGCCTGCGGCCTCGCCTGAATGCCCCGCCGAGCCGCGCGGCCCGCGACCTCGCAGGGACATCTATCCGACAGGCGGCGTCTCCCTTCGGCCTACCGACCACTGCCGTTCGATATCAACGGAAGAGAAAACTAAAATATCTACCTCGACAAAATGTGCAATTATTATATTTACAAACCAATTTGTACATAGCCTTGCTGAACGTGAATAAGCTACAGCATTACCGTGAGGCCGGTGCCAAGCACAATCACATCGTATTCTTCATCCATTTTGCGAAACTGGCGGATCGGAGCAGACTCGACGAAGGAGGAACGGGGAGCAGCGGGACGAGGAGGACGACTATGATGATGATGAGATGGAGCGCCGCGCCTCGAGTCTCCGCCGCCGACTGGAGCCGCAATGCCGCCTGCCAGCTCCTCCCTGGCGCTCCTCCCTCTCTGCGGGCACCCTCCACGCCCCCCCCCTCACCTCCCTCCTTCTCCCCCCCCCTCACCTCCCTCCTTCTCCCCCTCCTCTCCCTCCCTCCTCACCCTCCCCTCCTCACCCTCCCCTCCCTCCTCACCCTCCCCTCACCCTCCTCACCCTCTCCTCCCTCCTCACCCTCCCCCTCCCCTCCTCACCCTCCCCTCCCTCCTCACCCTCCCCCTCCCTCCTCACCCTCCCCCTCCCCTCCTCACCCTCCCCCTCCCTCCTCACCCTCCCTCACCCTCCCCTCCCTCCTCACCCTCCCCTCCTCACCCTCCCCTCCCTCCTCACCCTCCCCTCCCCTCCTCACCCTCCCCTCCTTCCTCACCCTCCCCTCCTCACCCTCCCCTCCTCACCCCCCCCCCCTCCTCTCCCTCCCCTCTCTCCCCTCCCTCCTCACCCTCCCTCCTCACCCTCCCCTCCCCTCCTCACCATCCCCTCCCCTCCTCACCCTCCCCTCCCTCCTCACCCTCCCCTCCCCTCCTCACCCTCCCCTCCTCACCCTCCCCTCCCTCCTCACCCTCCCCTCCTCACCCTCCCCTCCCTCCTCACCCTCCCCTCCTTCCTCACCCTCCCCTCCTCACCCTCCCCTCCTCACCCTCCCCTCCTCACCCCCCCCCCCTCCTCTCCCTCCCTCTCTCCTCACCCTCTCTCCTCACCCTCCCTCCTCACCCTCCCCTCCCTCCTCACCCTCCCCTCCCCTCCCTCCTCACCCTCCCCTCCCCTCCTCACCCTCCCCTCCTCACCCTCCCCTCCCTCCTCACCCTCCCCTCCTCACCCTCCCCTCCTCACCCTCCCCTCCCTCCTCACCCTCCCCTCCTCACCCTCCCCTCCTCACCCTCCCCTCCTCACCCCCCCCTCCTCTCCCTCCCCTCTCTCCCCTCCCTCCTCACCCTCCCTCCTCACCCTCCCTCCTCACCCTCCCCTCCCCTCCTCACCCTCCCCTCCCTCCTCACCCTCCCCTCCCTCCTCACCCTCCCCTCCCTCCACTCCCCTCCTCACCCTCCCCTCCCTCCCCTCCCTCCTCACCCTCCCCTCCTCACCCTCCCCTCCTCACCCTCCCCTCCTCCTCTCCCTCCCCTCCTCCCATTACATTTTATGGTCACCAACATACGTGAAAGTCATGCACACAGACGGCATTCAAACAACAACACACACGTGTAGATAGGAAAGAGGACCACAATGTTACTACTGTACTATCTCAGCAAATGCTGATTTTTGTTTTTGCCCATGCAGATTTTACGAAAAGCATATCACTAAATTTGGCCCTTTGGGTAATTTGCTCTCCATTGTTGACTCTTTGGGAGTAAGGTGTGGTAAAAGGGGGTACAAATGCAACATTAGATGTACACTTTGAAGTCGTGAGCGTTTTCAACACTGAACAATCTTTGATGCTAACGTATTGGATATTCATGAACTCCAGCCTTACATGTTAACCGCGATGTGACTTTGCAGCATTGTACAACAACGTTGGTCTTGCAATACACACACACAGCTAACAGAGTGGGGTGTAACCCCCGCCCGCCGCCACCAAGAAAACGTTTTGCAATGAGAATGTTTCAGAGGTTTTATTGCAATAGAAATTCACACAGTGATGTAGTTTGGCGATAACCATGACCAATCACCCCCTCGTTTGTTTCTAACTTTCTTCGATCCGAGGGCTGGTTGCATATTCAGATGAGAATGATGAAAAGCGGCAAATGAAACTGGACAGCCAGCACATATCTACAGCACATACCTACTACAGCACACACCCACACCACACACCTACATCACAACATTTGAATTAAGATGACCACAGCGCAATTCTTCACGAACAGGTTTTTTGCATAATTCACAAAGGTCGCGTGCATTCTGCACATGCTACTGTGTGTCTGTTGAAGGTTATGGCGCTATTCTCTTCCCTCGTGTCGGATCTTGCTCACTCCTTAAAGAATTGATGGATTTGGGATCCACAGTGGAAAAATAATGACGAGATCGACACGGAGATCAGGAGCAGAATAAACGAAGAATGGACAAAGTGGAGGAAAAGTGAGTGGAGTGGTGTGCAGGAAGTCAAAGCCAATTCGCCTTCAGGGAATAGCGAACAGGGCAGTGATAAGTTCAGCATTCATATGGCTCGGGCCGCTGAGCATGAAAGAAACGGCTGGCGAACGTGACGAGGGTGACGGGAGATGAGAACGCCTGAGATGAATATGTGAGGAAAGTAGAAAACATCGTGATTTGCCTTTCGTGACTGCAGAAATCCATACTCTTTGGTATAAAACCTTTTAAAACAGTCTGCCTCAGCAGCAGACCATGCTTTCCCACCTGCTGATGGACGCTTGTGTTGCGCCCGAAACGTCGTGATTTATTTTATACCTACGTGATTTTACCGAAAGAACCAAAGAGTATAGAAAACATTCGTGTGAGACGCAGGGGGTTTTTTGGGTGATAGGAGCACGGCCAAGAGAGAAATTGAGTGAGAATAGACCGAGGTGGTTCGGACAAGTGACCAGCTGATCGGAAGACGACGTTGGAAAGAGTTCTGAAAGTGCCAGTCGAGGGAAAGAGACAAAAAGGCGAAGAAGACGCGGCGACAATGTTACCGACAAGGACGTGAGAGCATGCGGCGGCGGTGGCGGCGGCGGCGTTACTGTGGACGGCGATGGGTCGAAGGCTGGAGAGAGACTCGGCGAGCGGAGTCCACCTCGTGGGACAAACGTTCCGTGGAACAAGATAAAAGGTTAAAAATGGGTGCAGCACCTCCGCACGGCCTTTGGGCTGCCTTAATTGGGCTCGCCATTTGAAAGCAGAATACGCTGCACTTAGTGGTGGGCGAGGGGAGTGGTGAAATTGCCGTTGTTAAAGGTGACACAGCCAGTCTCAAAGCACACGCTCCTCAAGAGCACATCTGGCTATGCAGCAGTCTGAGCAGCGGTGGTCAAATTGCCTCTGAAATTAAAGCAATCTCCTTGATAAACAACTTCACCTCCGCACACTCCCGCTGCTTCAGCCCATCTGGCCAAACTGCTCTTGCACTCTAAGACCCAAATAGGATGGAGACCTCTTATGCCAAAATGCCACCACAATATTATCTTTGACATCATTGAGAATGGGTCATTAATTATTAAACGGTGCATGTCGGCTCCCATTGCTGTATCTTAAAGCAGGGAACTGTGAAACGGGTATATTATGAAGCAGTATGCTTCCCTAGTAAACCAAGCCATCTTTACAATCTCCTTCAGGTCATTGTATGATAATGTTCATACAGCTTAACCCTACATTGTTAAAATGCATCCACAAACATTAAGCAGATTGTTGACTCGCAAGAACGTGGAAGATGGAGACGGCTTGAGTAGGCCTTTGATAAAATAACGGGTAGACTTAGACTGGTGATAACTCCAAGACATAACTGAGCAGTGTTCACACAAAGGCAGCACGTGTGTTATTTTTGCGTCCACTTATGGAGTCCATGGGAGAGAAATGTAATTTGTAAACGAGAGCTCCCCTAAAACTGGACACGTCGCGATTCGGGGTCACAATGATTCCCTTCAACAATCGATTCGTCTCGCTCGTCACTAATACTATTTTCAATTACCAGCTTGTACAATATACATTGCTCCAATTGTCCGTTACATTGGCAGGTCATTTGAATGAATCGTTACTAACCAATATCCATCTGCATGAAATGGATGTATCAGGCGAAAAAACCCCACAAGTGATCCACAGTAATTTTCCAGCCTAAATCCTGCCATTTCACATGGACACCTGAGGCCTGCACTCCCCTCACAGCCTTTATTTTATCCAGAAATTGTTACAAGAGGTAGTGCCTCAAAAAGCCGTCGTTGCATTGTACTTGTATGCCCCTACATCTATGCTCCCTGCCTCCAATAACCCACGTGGCCTACACAGTGTCGGAGTCCATCTAGCAGTTCATTGATAAAAGGTCTGCCCCTGTACATCCAAGACAATGACACGAATGTCTACCACTTAAACTTCTCATACTGTACCCCTGCTCCCCTACCTTAAATCATATTCTTGTTCTATCCTATATTATACAACGTTAATATATATTTCAAATTTGATATTTACAAAAAAAAAATTCTAACACCGATAGATTCTCCCCAACGAAGAATAATTAAATGGCATCCATCTCATGAATAAGGAATCTCTAAAAAAACTTTAGTACCACACCGATGACCATTTCACCTCTGAATGCATCCGATTTGATCAGATCTCGAGGCTAAGCAGGGTTGACCACTTGAATGGCAACCGCCAATCATAAAACATGTCACATGCTGCTTCAGAGCTATCTTGCGAACATCTATTGTTGTACTTAACCATGCTTCCCATGTATGCGCTCCACACCTCCTCCAACCCACACTGACCGGCGACGTGAAGTATAGTCCACACGGTGTGGGGAGGGACCCCCAACCCGCAGTGGATTGACAAAGGTCTGCACATGCTACAAATGGAGGGCCGATTTTGTTCCGATTTAAAATATAATAGTCTTATCCAGAGACTGATGGTATGGGCAAAGGGCGGGGCTATCTGAGTAGTGGGTGAGGTTGTCAGTGGAGTGAGTGTGGCCTATGACCACCGTGAGAAAGAGCCAATCGGCTCACTGTGTGCACTGGGATGGTGACCGAGCGGGCTTGGCGATGTAAAAGTGGGAGGCGCTGATGGTCGCAGGGGGTCCTGTCTCGTTCATCACCGCGTGTCCCCCGTCGAGTCTCCCAAAAACGCTGCGGCTTTCGATGCGCGCGCACGGGTGTACACGCGCGCAGCAGAGCGAGAAGGGGACACCGCTTGCTTGGCGGCGTGCGAGCGGCGCTCCTCAGCTGGGCTCCTCCATGGCGCTGACGACAGGAGGTTTTTGCGCGAGGGAGAGAGGCGTCCGCCCCTCCGCGTCCTCCGCGTTGAGCAGCCCGGCTGCGCGCAGTGCGCGCACGCACTCCGCGCGCTGAGCCGCGCACGCCACGTGCAGCGCTTGCCGCCATTCGGGGAGGCAGGCGGCAGAGTTTCAGTGAGGTCGCGGCGTGATGAGGTCGCACTCGTTGCACACAAAGTGTTTGCCATAAATGAACCGCAATACTTTACTGATCTCATCAAGGAGCATAAACCATCACGCAAACTCTGGTCATCCTCGCGGCGGATTTTGGCTGGCCATCAAACAAAGACGGTTACTGAATCAAACGCTTTCTGATGCGCTTCTGCGGCCGTCTGGAACGCTCTTCCTTCCGATTTTGTGTTTAGTTTGTTGTCCTTCCCCTGCACCTCCAATTAGTACAGTTGGCTACGTAGGGTGCGAAAGAAGTTAAACATATATACATGTTGAACACTGCATTCTCTACATTGCACTCGGACCTTGCGCAGAGAGGTCTTCCTTGCTGAAGATATTTGCTTGCATTATGTGCCTCTCTCCTGGTTGTAATTCGCAAAAACACATTTTTTTTTAATCGACTTCTTGCACGTATGATTTAGAGGTGCTCACCAACTGGTTCATGTCGGAATATAGTGCACCATGCATTAATTAAACAAGAAAAATCATGCAAATGAGTGGATTCTGTAACACTTTCTAAATAGCGTTTGCCCTCAGCAGTACTTCATAAGCAGTACGGAAGTTGTCAGGGCAAAACGTTGTTTAGATAATTGCGCTCAATCCTTTTTGCTCTGAATTGTGCCGCCAAGTGTTGAGCAATCCTTTGATTAGACTGGTCAGCTTTCAATAGGACAAACCTCGAATAACAACACAACTTTCAATTAAAATGTAATCTCCATTGAATTATCTCTACGAGGGCTGTCGTGACCAGATTTTACAGATGGACAGATGAACAGACAGCCAAACGGACAGAGCTGATGCTTTCATGCTTTCGGGCCTTAACCTGAAAGCGGTAAAAACAAACCAATCATTAAGGCAAGGCAACCCCTTATAATTATTTCAAACTCACTGTTTGAAAGCACGAATGCATTAGCTCTGTCCGTGTGTCTGTCTGCAACAAAGACGCATGATTACTCTCACAGGGATGATCTAATTTGGACAAAATTTTTGGAAAAAGTTTCATTTACTATCAGGGACTTATCTGTCTTGAAAGCAAGCATATTATTCTAGGTATTGCCCAAGACCCTTAGACCCATATCAGTGCTAAAAGCACACACGTTGTCTCGCTGGTGTCCCGGCCTGACTTGCCAAGCCTCGCTCTCCAGGGCCTACCGTTTCCTATGCCCTGGGCGCGGGCGCTACCTTGACTACCGCCAACCAATTACCGCACTTGCGAGGACAAATGCACGTTGGAAAAGCGTTACGGAATCAATGCATGAGTATGGTTTATTTTCTTCCTCTTTGTTAATTTGTAAGCGGCTGCTGTGTTGTGTGGCTGGCTTACCGGTCCTGCCTTTGGCGTCCGTGGCGTGCAGGTCGGCCCCCAGGGAGCGCAGAGTCTCTATGGCGCTTACGTGTCCCTCCTGCAACACGGCAGAAGACGCGCAGAGCGTTACACAATCGGGGGGCGGGGGGGCGGGACAACCGCGGAAAATTACACGACACCTCCACCGCTTCGGCAAACACTGCACCCCCGCTCGTCAGCAATTTAGCGTGCCGCTAATTAACTCGGTCACACGCCAAAGCGGTCACGCTCCTCAGGTGGACATTGTACAGCGTTCATCTCTCCCCGTTTATAGCCCCTCTGAGGCAGTGAAGGAATATCCTCCTTTAACAGAGGGAGAGAGTCGATCCATCTATCCGTAGTCTATCCATAGCTCAACCACCATCACCTTCGCACAAGCGGTGCTCGTTCATTTACCCCCCGACGGGCAAAGGCGCGGGATGACCCCCCCCCCACCCCAACGAGGAGCTTTACTTGCAACGCTTAAGACCGGAAGTTGCACGTCACTGTTGCACCACCTCTCCAAACGCGTATGCACGCAGATATTACCGTTGGTTGGCCACCTGTGCAGCACGTTCGACAGGCCAGGGTTTAATTCACAGACGTGCTCATCCGACATTTGCACTTCACATAGAATTCCCCTATGTCATCATAATCGGCGACACGAGCCGATTTCATCGCCCCGTCAGCGGCATGTGCGTTGAACTTCTTTCGCACCGTATGTAACCAACCGTGCTAATCGGTGGTGTGCGAATGTCGTGAAAACCAAGATCGCAGTGAATCGAGAAACTGCGATTGCAGAAACCCTAGGCCACGCAGCTCTTTAAGAACCGCTTCGTGACATGATTGATTAAGGACCGCCATCTCGTATTCATGTGTCATTGCGGCTCTTGAGATATCGGCAAGCAATCGAACAAAGACAGTCACAGCATCGCGCGCTTTCAGATGTGCTTCTGCAGCCGTCTGGAACGCTCTTCCTTCTGATATTAGGAAGCCATTGGAGCTATGCACTTTTAAATCGTATAGATTTAAAACTCATTTCTTTCTAACAGCTTTTCGTCTTTAGTTTGTTGTCCTTTGCCCGCACCTCCGATTACCACAGTCGGCTACGTATGGTGCGAAAGAAGTTCAACATAAATACAATAGGTATTCAGGTTTTTTATTGTCCAATTGGGAAAAAAAATGACGATTCCTGTTATTTTGAGTGCTGACCCTGCCCCATAGGCCAATGGGGCGACCGGGCCGACGGAGCGACCTTCCCCGCTCACCTTGGCGGCATAGTGCACGGCGCTGAGGCAGGCGCGAGCGTCTTGCACGTTCACGTCCACGCCCAGCTCCTCCACGAGGAAGCGGAGAGCGTCGAGTTGGCAGGTGACGGCGGCCAAGTGCAGCGCCTGGGCGCCCACGGCATCGGTGGCGTTCACGGCCGACTGCCTCAACGACGAGATAAAACGAATATTCACTAATCTGTCTATAGATCTATGTTTATTTTACCAGGTAAGGCCCCACTCTGTGGGTTGGGTCAGGTCACATTCATAGCGGGTCACGGAAGGTCACCCACGATGAAGCGACCGTGAACTTTTCTTTCATTCCAGACCTCTCCTCTAACTCTGTCTCAACAGAAGTGTCTGTAAACAGGGCGGAGCAACATTTCAGACGATTTGAAATGCGCATTTTTCCACTTCCATTTTGCGTGAAAAGTTATAACGTCATCCAAACACGTACGTAAATTATTGATTTTGTTGCTGTTGGCTGGTGCGGGTCTGGTTGCGGGTAAAAAAATGGCGTTGAAGCGGGTTCCGTGTTCGGCAAGATCCGGCAAGAGGCAGGTCGGATTGCCAGTCAAATAGTTAGGCCCATTGCAGGACTGTGATCGCAGGGTATGTGCCCCACCTAGTGTGGATATGGGGAACTTCAACGTACTTCAGACGTAGTTCTGCTACAGCATCTTCCGTGCCAGCCTGCGTACGCATCTCACATGTTATCGCGGATTGTGCTTTACCGTATTATTTATTATGAAACGTGATTTTTCCGTAACACGTTGTTCTTCAGGAACACAACTACTACCGCATTATAGGAGAACAGCGTAACGATTTAGGAAAAAGAAAGCACCTTGCGGAGCCACACCGGAACCCAGAGTACGGGCGGGTTTCTGGCACGCACAGCGGAGATTCGTAGATGAGCTCACCTGGCAAATCAGCTCACCTGGTGGATCAGCTCACCTGGTGGATCAGCTCACCTGGTGGATCAGCTCACCTGGTGCTTCTCCAGGAGCAGCCGAGCCACGTCCAGGTGGCCATGTCTCACCGCGTCCACGAACGGGGTCACGCCGCAGCTGTCACGGCCGTCGGGCACAAACGCGCACCTACGGACCCGCGCGCGAGGGTTCACATCACTTGCCGGTCGCTTGACTCCAGCGTCTAAAAACACCTTGCTTCCCGTCTCAATCGTTATAATGGTCAGCGTTGGTGGGGTTTTTTTGCTTAGGGGAACCCAAGCGGCTGTCCCCTGTGTGGCACAAGGTGAAGCAGCACTGGCCTGAAAGGGGGGCATTAGTCTGTCAGGAGGGGGCGATGTTGCTGTTGGTTAATCCAATAATTCGCTGGCAATTTTTAGAATTTTGCAAATCTGGACGATGACGCTGGTGCACATGGCCTAGTCTTGTTGTGAATGTGTTTATCGTCCAATGTGAAGCTGTATATGTATGGTCCATACATCCGCAGTCTTATCCAAGACTTTGTTTTATTCAGAGGAAAGCCACCGAGTCTCAAGACCTTGCAATCCTAGCTGAGTATTTGCAGATCATATTTCAGCACTGGAGTTGTTTTGGGCAATACGGGGTGTTTTTTTTAGCTATGGGAGAAAACAAGAGAACCTGGGGAAACCCATGCAGAACGGGGGGAGAACAGAACATGCACGCTCCACACAGAGAGACGCATGCGTTAGGAATCGAACCCAGGTCCATCTGGCTCCGAGGCAGGAGTGTTACCACAGCACTACCCTGCCTCGCAAACCTTGACCGGAAACCCGTGCAAGAAGCGGGGAATGCCCCCCCCCCACCCCACCAATCTCACTCGTGTCACTGTCAGTGACGTGGATGATGCAACTGAACATCCAAGAGCGCGCATCGTCAAATTAGGCCACATCATCCCAACCGTTGGGATGCCTCCACTGGCTGCCAGGTCTATGTGGATCGTGCAGCGTGGGCGCACACAGCCTGGAGCCGACTGCTCGGCTCAACTCACCTGTCCAGCAACATCTGCGTGACTTCCAAGTTGCCGTGCATGGCTGCAAACAAAGAGGGAAAAACAATTGATGTGGAAATAGCTTTTTTTCCTCCAAATTTACTCTCGAATGTGTACGCCGTACACTACAATCATTGTCAGTCATTGTCTATCAACTGCTGGATGAAGGCCTTCCCACACTGTTGCCATCCACCAGTTCTGCGATGCCACGATCCGACCTCTCATTATCCCGTCCAGAGGCGATGTGTCCTACCCACGCCCGCTGACTTAACAATGCGTTTCTCATGCGTTCCACGCTGTGCGTCTTAATATTTCCGTTGTTCTGTGCAATTCCAAGCGTGCATCTCTCCACGCCTGTCAGCGTTCAATCCATTTGTTCTGACTGGCAAAATGCACCGATTGAGAATGGGGGTCCCCCTCTGGGCACGGTGGGGTACAAAACATAACAATTGGTCCATTGGAACCTCATTTGCCAGTAAAAAATATAATTGTTTTTTTACCCTTCTATCTGGCAACAAAACTGACACCTTTTTTACAAGGAGTCATGTTTGCATAGACCACAATACCTGCAGTCATAATGCAAACAAAAAACATAACTCTGATAATGTGCACTGTCCTTGAAGTTGATTGGTCTACACCCGAGACTAGGCTCTAAGGAAAGCTGTATCGGGTGTGGACCAATCAACTTCAAGGACAGTGCACATTATCAGAGTTATGTTTTTTGTTTGCATTATGACTGCAGGTATTGTTGTCTATGCAAACATGACTCCTTGTAAAAAAAAGGTGTCAGTTTTGTTGCCAGATAGAAGGGTAAAAAACCAATTATCATAAAAATTGGTGTTAACCCTATCTGGCAATAAAACAGGAGTTGTGTGTTAAGATGTTCAAACTCCAAATAGAAACCTTTTTTGCAAGGAAGTTACTGCATTAACCACACACGGTGCTTGTGGTGAACATGCAAACAAAAACATGCTCTGATAATTATTATTATTGTGTGGCATTGTCTTTGAAACTGATTGGTCTACACCAGAGACAGCCTTCTTTAGGGCCTAGTCTCACCAGTGTCAGACCAGAGAATGCCAAAAGGCGAACAGCACAAAAGGCAAACAGTTTTATTGCCAGAAAGGGTTCAAACCTATTCTTATTTTTCCAGACTTTGATACCGGCAATTTCAGATTTTCAAAAGCACTCAAAACCTACTAATGTCTGTCTCTTTGTTTCGACATATTCATTTCAGTCAGCCGTCGTAACCTGCCCGAGGTACACAGACTTTCTTGTTTTCCAGTTGTCTCTCACACAGATGTCTTCATCATATCATACCTGTCAACGCATGCAGTTTACCCATATTCTTGTGCAGGTCAATTGAGTAAAAAAGAAATGTGTCTATTTGTTTGTGTTTCTCCTTTGTGATGGGACTATTTAGGATGGACTTTGAGATGTCTAAGGGCACGGGGTGACCAATAAGTTCTGAATTGGTCTGTATTAATGTAGGCACTGTTAAAGGGTTGACAGGTATGTGCCATTTGTTGAGTCAACTTGTCAAATTTATACTGAGCCCAAGTTCGCAGTTTATTTTATAAAATTAGGCTGCAGTGTGGCACAGTGGTAACACGTCTGCCGTGCAGCAAATGGGACCTGGGTTCAATTCCTGATTCGGGTACCTTTCAGTGTGCAGTTTGTGTGTTTTTGCCTGTCCTGTATGGGTTTACTCCCATAGCTAAACTGGCACACAATGTTAACTGCTATTGGCCAAAACATCCCAATGATGAAATATTATCTGCAAATTACTCAATTGGGGTTACGCATTGCAATGTCGCCCGCCCCGCCCCCCCCACTGAGAAAAACTGAGGAGGGCCCTCCTTAAAAAATATCTTGTGAGGGTTATCCTGGGTAAACAAGCACAAAAATAACACTACTCACGACCAAGTTTCCTACAACATTTCCTGCAGTTGCATCACTTTAATTCGGCAACGATGTAACGAGATAAACAAGTTCATAATAAAGTGTTTTGAGTTAGATCGCGCAAGTATCAATGTTGCCACACTGCCCCGCGTGGTGGAAGTATGACGCAAATCAATACTATTCTGGCAAATCGCCCGATGATGATGGATGTAATTACCAGCGAAACGTCGTACTTAGGTTGTAAATGTTGTGGATTCGCTCTCTGAAGTAGTAACTATTTGGCGTTTTGTTTACGCGACAAATCCCTTACTGATTGGCTGTGTCGGGTAGTGGAGGGTTTCGACACATTCATACTTACGCGATCTAACCCAAAAACCTTTATTATGAATAATATTGGTCGCGAAAGCCCGCGGCGCGTTAAACCGAGATAAACAAGGGCATGGGTCATGACGTCGCCACCGGCGCCAGGTGAATCGGGTGTAGGCCCAGGCCGGGCTACCGGCGGTGTGGAGCGGAGTGCGGCCCACAGAGCTGCGCGTGTCCCACGCTGCGGGCGACGCGTCCAGCAGAGCGCCCACCACCGCCGAATCGCCCGTGCGGCACGCCACGTGCAGCGCGCTCCAGCCGTCCTTGTTGCGCACAGACAGGCTGGCCCCGTGCGCCAGCAGCTCGCGAACCACGTCCAGCGAGCCGGCACGGGTGCAGGCCATCATCAGCGGCGTCCTGGGGAAAGGAACAAAAAAAGCCAAGGCAGTTAACATCTCGCCGCGGTGTCTAGATGTTAACTGCCTCGCCTGGTATACAGGAAGTCGTGCGTTCGATCGGGACCCTGATGCCTGCTGTATATTTGAGTTTGCATGTTCTCCCCGTGGTCACGTGGCTTTTTCCTCCGGGTCCTCTGTTTTTTTTTTACTTTACATTTAGAAACGTGAGTTTAAGAGTATGTGGCTGCTATAACTTTACACATAAGCCACTTAGTTCAGCTATCATTTGTGGCCAGGTCGATTCTGAAACATGAGCGATATAAGTCAGTAGGCCTTACCTGGTGAATTAAAAAATTAAGTTTAATAATTTTCCACTGGCACATCCAAGCACTGTATGGGCGTTTTTTTGCCACTGGTTATTTGCCATTCTGAGCCAGAAACCAACCATACCGTACCTTTAAACGCGAGCCTCACGTGACATCCGAATCCGGCTTGACTTGACTGCGTATTCACACATTAAATTGGAATTTTGGTTTAGAAGATGGCTCTCAGTGGATCTGTATTACCCCTTTTCCCACCGGTACATCTCTGAACCGGGCCTGCAACAGGGGTCCTCACAATTTTCCACTGGATAATTGCGATGACCAAACTGAAGCCTCTGGACAACTGTGAAAAAAAGAGAGCTTCACAGCTCATCGGATTTCTCCGCTCTAAATACAAAATGACGATTGTGACATCTGCCCGATACCGGCTCGGGTTTACAGAGAGGGCCAAGGGTGACGATGTGACGTGAGTCAAGTCGTGGGGCTGCAGAGAGCACTGCAGTAAAAATCCGTTGTTGTGCTGCACTCCTATGCTCCCACGTCTTTGCATCACCGACCCAAACTGGAGGTATGACGCAAATAAACACATCGTTCGCGGGCCGTTTTCCAACGCGTAGGCCTGGCGTGGCCGTCCCTAGTGGGGCAATGACGACACGTGTAACGTGAAATCTCGGCGCGTGTTGAGCCCACACGGCCTGCGTGTGTCCCCCAAGCTGCGTGTGTACCCCAAGTCTGCCAGATCCCCCATCCCGAACTCCAACCCGAGGCTGCCATCTCCCCACCCCCCCAACCCAACATCTCCCCACCCCCCCAACCCACCATCTCCCCACCCCCCCAACCCAACATCTCCCCACCCCGCTAACCCACCATCTCCCCACCCCCCAACCCACCATCTTCCCACCCCCCAACCCACCATCTCTCCACCCCCCCAACCCAACATCTCCCCACCCCCCCAACCCACCATCTCCCCACCCCCCCAACCCACCATCTCCCCACCCCCCCAACCCACCATCTCCCCACCCCCCCAACCCAACCCACCATCTCCCCACCCCCCAACCCAACCCAACCCACCATCTCCCCACCCCCCCCAACCCACCATCTCCCCACCCCCCCAACCCACCATCTCCCCACCCCCCAACCCAACCCACCATCTCCCCACCCCCACCAACCCACCATCTCCCCACCCCCCCAACCCAACCCACGATCTCCCCACTCCCCCAACCCACCATCTCCCCACCCCCCCAACCCAACCCAACCCACCATCTCCCCACCCCCCCAACCCACCATCTCCCCACCCCCCAACCCAACCCACCACCATCTCCCCACCCCCCCAACCCACCATCTCCCCACCCCACCCCCCCAACCCAACCCACCATCTCCCCACCCCCCCAACCCACCATCTCCCCACCCCCCCCCAACCCACGATCTCCCCACTCCCCCAACCCACCATCTCCCCACCCCCCAACCCACCATCTCCCCACCCCCCAACCCAACCCACCATCTCCCCACCCCCCCAACCCACCATCTCCCCACCCCCCCAACCCAACCCACCATCTCCCCCCCCCAACCCACCATCTCCCCACCCCCCCAACCCACCATCTCCCCCCCCAACCCACCATCTCCCCACCCCCCCAACCCACCATCCCCCCCCCCAATCCACCATCTCCCCACCCCCCCAACCCACCATCTCCCCACCCCCCCAACCCAACCCACCAGTCCGCCCGCTTGAGGCTGTCCACCCTGGCCCCGTGCCGCAGCAGCAGCCGCACGCAGGGCCCGTGCCCGCCCGCCGCGGCCTCGTGCAGGGCCCTCTTGTGCTCGCGGTTCGCGGCCTCGGGGTCGGCGCCGAGCGGCGGGGCGAGCAGCAGGGCGAGGAGGCGAGGCCGCCCCAGGCGTCCCGCGTAGTGCAGCAGGGAGTCGCGGGCAGAGCCCCTGCGCAGGGAGGCCAACCGGGACAGCCCGGCCGTGGCGGTGGCCTCCGTTGCTCCGGTGGTGGCCACGGTGGTGGCCCCGCTGGTGGCCACGTGCGTCCCGTCGGACAATTCTCGTGGCCGCTGCTGCTGCAGCTGCTGCAGGTGAATGGACAGCGCCACGGCTGCGGCGTCGTCACTTTCTTGGGCCAGTTTGAAGAAATATTCGTCATCTTCTGCCGGTGACATGGGATCGTCCTCTGCCGTGTGTCGCGTGTGTTGTGTTCACGCCCCTGAACGCACGGACAGACACGTGCTGTGTGGGGCTGCTGCCGTGGTTGTTGTTTTTGGTGACAGCCACTGCGCTCGGTCCACACGGTGATGACGAAACACGTGGATCGCCAGCTCCGCAACCAGCGTTGTCAGATCAGAGGGTTAAACACGCAGTTTTCGTTTTTTGGGGGTTAAATAACGTAAATGTCGTTAAACCCACCACACCCAATTAGTAAGGGTTGACACTTAAGCAAAACATGCCAATTCGTTACTTCTACAGCACACCGGTGTGTTGGGAGAGAAAATCCACGAAATTTCCAACTACAGTTGTAAATCCACAAACTTGAACCTCTGCAAATATATCGGCGTCAGAGTTGGGATCGAGCCCACCTCCTCCTGTAGAGCAGGCGAGGTCGTTAACATCTCGCCTCCGTGGCGCCGGGTGCTTAAACGAATTCACGGCTATTTTGTTTAAACTAAATGCCCTGGTTAGTCTTCCGATGTGTGTATAATCTAAATTGAGAAATTTCCGAATTTGGGCTCCCATCGCCGGCACACAATGACCAAGCCTTGCGAATGACATCAGTGGGTCTTTAACGTCCACCGTGTGTAGCATTATGGTTATTGACACCCGCCGTACCAATAATCGTGGCGACCGCTGGATATCGAATTGTGAACCTCTGCTGGGCCGTGTCACCACCGTAACGATAATGGCCTCAGCTCGGTCGCCGATCTCTGCGACTGGGGGAAATATTTTCATCGACGTAACGTGTTCCATTTGTCAATGTAGGGACCGTCCATAAATGACGTCACGCGATTTTGGACCCCCCCTCAAATATGACGTCACAAAGCTCTGCCCCTCCCCCTCTCCAAACCCACATTTTCATTTTGAAAATGAAACTTGCTTCAAATCGCTTTAATCGCGTATTCAATGTGGCGCTGCACTCGGATGTTGTAGGAGTGTTGTTATAACAATTAGTGTTGTTATAACAATTCTATATTTATTTAAAGTTGCGCATTTTGATGTGACGTCACATTTCTCAACCCACCCCCCCCAGGCGCGTGACGTCATTTATGGACGGTCCCATAGCGCGAGATGGAGGCCTCCAATACGGTATCAATCATCGGGGTCTGTTGACCATACTTCACCACGATGATGAGTGCACGTTGGTGGGATTCGGGGCGCAGAAAGCCACTGATGTGAGCCGTTACTGGAAATTCATTTTTTAAAAATCCTTTATATTAAGTTCGCTTGCTTGCTTACGACCGTGCAAATCTTTCGGTCGTTTTTTAACCCACTCCCCGTGATCCAATCGAGCTGACATTTTCCACACAGACTCGTTGTGCGTGACAATTAATGTTCGTGAAAATGTTTTTACAAAATTTTACACTTTTGAGGACAAAAATATTATATTTAATTACCAATTGCTTAATGGTGCAATGCAATCATCTGACCCATAGGTGGCAGCCATCTCAAGCCAGAGGACGAGAGGACTCTAGCCGCCACGCATATAAAGGATTTATAGTGAAAAACTTTGTTTTTACGGGTTATACTTGTTTGGTATCCGGATTCAGAGCGCGGTGGGCCAATCACTCCACCAGCACTTTCTCAACATGACATTATATTTGTGGTTTATATTTAGCTTGGTGAGAGTTTGATTTTTTTTCTGCGAGGAATTGTTTATTGCACCCGACGCCTTTGCTAGGCTGATTATGTAGAGTAAGGTTCTTTAACTGGTGGCGTTTGTTTGTGTCCCCGCACGTAACGATACACAAATCAGTGACATTAAAGACAAGTCATCGTGCAATTGTGGCCATGCAACACACACGACGGACCAACAAATAGTAAACCCACTGTCGTCTGCGCCTCCTCCTCCTCCACACGAACTCTCCCGAAGCTCGCAGAGCTCGACATTGGCATTTATAGATTCGCCATACGCAACAATAGTGATATCACATCACATTGTCCGTCAGCACACACCAGGATCGTGTACCGCCCGAAACAGATGAACCCAGTTGTAGATGATACTGGTAGGAACCTCCTGATTACACCAGCCCACGGGATTATTGTGTCCGTCCGTCCGTCGTGCAGGGAGGGGCTGGGTGGGAGGGGTGGGGCTGGGTGGGGAGGGGCTGGTCATCCCGTGGTGCCCTTATAAAACTCAACGTTTAACCTACTCATGCCGGCTTGTGCCCGCCCTCAGTCGGCCATATTTGCGGAATACACCACGCCGCCGTTGACCCTGGCCATTGGCCGAGCAACCCGACGTTCCTATCAGCTCCCTCCGCAGGAATGTGTTTACAAGGGCGCCACTGCCACGACACCGCACACAGGGTATGCACATTTATTCATGGGCAAGACACATGCACGACCTGCATAAGTACTGTGAAATGCACATCAACCGGACGTTCCCGTAACACGAGGCATACATTAAACCAAATGGATACGCGCACAGGACGGCTGCAGGCCCGGAGGCGCCAAGTTCGATTCCCGGCTCCGTTTCCAGTCGTAACCTGGAGATGAAAGCGTGTTGCGGCACAGAACCGACAACTAACCCCGCACTGCCGGTGCGAGACTTTTGACCCAAATTCATATCATGTGGAGCCCAGGATGAGAATACTATTTAATTATTTGAACACCAATGTACAGATTAAATATTAAGATGTTCCCTTGTGTAAAAATTACCCCCTGGGGTCAGATCACTATACTGTATAGTAGTACACAAATAATTTGCGTCCCAACCAAAAATTACTATGATAGCGGTTAGGGTGTCGACCCAAGGTTTATGAGAGCCTTGTTCAAATAAGATTGTGTCTATACAGCTTTAAAGGTACAAGATGAATTGACGCCCAAAATAATTACAGGTTTTACAAGACAAATGACGAACACTTCCTGGGGAGTTTGAACTAGTTGAGATGCAGTTCAATGTCTTGTACTCTGATCCACGGGTCAGACGTTTACGGAGGTCAAATACTATCCCACACCAGCCTGAACCTGCAAAACTTAAATTCAAAAAGGCACAGTGTGTACCGTTTATTGTTTAATATGTATGTTTCTGTGGGTATACATACACACAACACGTGGATACGCGTACACAGTGCTGCACATGTGGACTAGGGTGCTGTCAATAAGGTTTGACAAGACAAAAAAAATACAATGATGTAATGATAGGCTTATTCTCGTTATATACAGGGTGTTTCAAAGTGATGGACCCGATTTGAAATCGCTATATATCTGCAACCACGAACCGCCCATGAATAAAACTCTTACCACTTGAAAGGGCGGGGCATAGAGTTTCAAATGATGACCGAGAGATGCCTCTCCCAGTGCACAAACAGCCCCTAGCCTCAGTCATTCGCAAGACGGTGACCCCACAACACAATGGGCGTTTTGCGTTTTGCCGTTCAGTAATACCGAATCCGTAATTGCGGTGCAGCGTGCGTTTCAACGGCGTTTTGGCATTGATCCGCCAATGTTAAAGAGCGTTCGTCGTTGGTACCGACAATTTGAGGAAACAGGCTGTTGATGTAAGGGGAAGAGCACAGGGCGACCACGCACCTCAGAGGAAAACGTGAGACGCGTTTGGGACGAATTCAACTATCGTCTCGATGTTGTCCGTACAGCAGGTGGAGGGCACACAGAGCATTTATAAAATGGTTAGTAAAACTTGATAACTCATTAAACCGTTTGTAACTTTGTGTGTAATTGTAACATGTTGCCATCGTTAAATATACTGCTTTGAAATTGGGTCCATCTTTTTGAAACACCCTGGAAAGTAATCAACATTTGCATTGATGTTTGGTTATTCCTTCGTTAAAAATGAAGTCTGTGCAACACCTAAATGTTTTATTCTCAAATCGTTTTGACCAGCCTTCGAATGTCTAAACTACACTATGCTATATACAGTATCATACACCTGGAGAGTTGTACGTTGCATGTGGAGCTGGGAGGATAAAGTCGATTCATTAACTTTTTCTTTTTAAAGTAGCCACTTGTGTTCGATTACTCAGTCGGCTTTAAAAATGACAGCCGTCCCTACACCCTGCCTCCCCGAAGCCGGGAAACCCCTGACAAGCCACGGCCAGCGCGACGTGGCTGATGCCAATTGTGTCACCAAGCCCCGACCCCCCCACCACCACCTCCCGTCCAGCGGCACACGTGGGAATGTGAGGCGGAACGTGTTTTCCCCCTCCACAACTATTCTCGTGTATTTCGATTTAAAGCTTTCGTGACTGCAGGGATTAATCTTCTTGGTTCTTTCGGTAAAGTCATGTAGAAGGGAAATAATAAAAGAATAAAAATAAAATATAATAAAATACCATTCTCACGACGTTTCGGCCACAACGCAAGCATCCGTCCTCAGGTGAAGAACAGGTCTTTCCGACGTGAGAATTGTATTTTATTGTTTTATTTTTATTATTTTATTATTTCCCTTCTACGTGACTTTACCAAAAGAACCAAAAAGATATTCTCGTGTAATCTGATTATTAGAGTAATCGCACCGATAACTGGTGAAGAGAAATCGACTACTTTAATAATCGTCCAGTTCTTAGCTGCAAGTCTTTATGAACGGTTTTCGGGCAGTGGCTGTTGTAGACACAACAAACATTGACAACGGAGGAAGATAAATACGCACTCCAATGCTCATGCTGACCATACACGTTCTTGTATTACAGTATGCGACTTTGAAATGTCGCTTGCGAGAAGCCCTCCGAAGGTGCAATGTTCACGAATCCTGCACAAACTCGAGACGGCGCAGTGCGTCGAGATGAACCGCTGGCGATGCGTTGAACGCCACCGCATCATCACAGCGCCGGGTACGAGGACAGCCCCTTCTTGTCAATCCACTGCGAGAGGAGGGTCTCCCCCACTCCTGTGCGCGCCTTGCAGAGTTATTCGACCATACTCCATCATTGCTGGTCTTTGTGGGTTTAAGGTGGGGCGCATCGAAGGGCGATAGATTTTGCTGTCCTGCACTGCCCTCTGCTGTTCACCACAAAGCCTCACAAGCCCTATGACAATCTGTGCATGGCGGTCACCCACCCAAGCATTATACAGGGTAATAGGCTTAACCCTGCGAAACTTCCGAGATCTGACGAAATTGGACACATTCCCGGCGATTGGGTCATCGGCAAATCACACCACCATAGGACTCGAACGAACCCGGCACTCTGTTCACACATCAGTTCGCAACACCGCTCGCCGTTTACACACAAGGTTGCGCCAGTTTCTTTCTTCCCATTCTAAATAAGCACCTTTTGCATGGAGAGCTGTCCCACGGAATTTATGCACAGATGCCGGGAACTCGAGTGCAAAATTGCTTTGACGTCCGACAAAGCAACTCTCCATCAGTCAGTATGACTCACTCAAAAACGTATAATATAAAAAAAACTAACTCAGCGTGGAAACGTAAACATGAGCAGCGTGAAGTCAACACGATTATTACACACCGCCGCTGCATGCACCACAGATGTGTGCAGCTGCTGCATACGTTTCATCTACAACTGTGAAGTCGAGTCTTGCACTTCTGTGAAGCTTCAGAATAATCCGTGCCGTTAGCATATAAAAACAGAGCGCACACAAAGCACACGCACACTGGTTTCGAGGCCCCAGTCCTTGGAACTCATCTCTGTTCAGCAGATTTAGAACTCTTTCCAAATGGCTAACGGAAATGGCAGCTTTGTATTTTGACGAGTTGCATTTTAACATACTTTCGTCAGGGAATTAAATCATATAAAATCAGATTGTTCACCACACTGCCTTTTTTATCTGAACGCAAACATTAACCAATAGAGGCAAATTACAATTATTAATTATCATGAACTGTGCACCTCAATGCAATTTTGTAGGGGCTCAAAAGACTACCCAAAGGTTTGAGCTATATTTAATCGGGTCGCAGTGGCACAGCAGCTGTGGAGGGTGCAGGAGATGCAACTTCACCGGGATCCAAAGGCCGGGGGGGGGGGGGGGCGAGGCACCAGCTACGGAGAGGCGGCGATATTGAAAAGAGGGCCCCAATTAATTCCTTGCACCAGGAGCCAAACGCAACCCTCGCTATGCCACTGTTATTCTTGTAAATGAAACTGAAACGAATGTTCTGTAACATGCAAAATATCAAGATATTACACCGACTTTGAACTCATACAATACTGCTTTGTATAGCTACCATATAAATAACCCATTAAATCCCATACAGTATACCAGAATAATTATGCAATTGTGCAGCATCAATAGAACACTCATTCTAACAACGCTGTCAAGCGGAACAGTTTGCAATGCGTGCCAATTTGTAATGCCATCGTTATTATCGGTCGATTAAGCCAAGCTGTCGCTAGGCTCCATGCGTAACCAGAAGTGGATCGTACAAGTACACCACCTGTAGCATGGCAAACATTATCAAGCTGTTGAGAAAATTAATTATCCAAGCTTGTTTCTGCATGAGACAGGGAATTATAAAGACTGCTACTTGCTCACCACGCTGGATATAAACCAAAAAAATGCGAGTGCTACCACTGCAAAGACTGTTTTCGAGGTTGTGCTGTCCATCGCTTCGATGTGCTTTCGGGTTGAACCACGTGCCAAATGACACACGGTACAACGTGAGAACACATCGGAGAGACACGAGGACTGGGCTCGGGTGCAAGCAGGGATGACAGTTTTAGACAAAACCAAAAGCTTAAAGAAAAGACAACCACAAAAGGTGTATGCGGCTGCGATAGATTACGCCGTCACACAAGGAACCCAGATTCAACCGTTGTCGTGGTCGGAAAAGAAGCTGTCGCCTTTCCTCCGACAGCAGCTTCTCGCTTGAGAGAATAGGCAGATAGAGAATGCAGCTCGTAACTTCACTGCCATTACCTGGATGTTGCCACGTGAAATATCCGCCACATCAGCACGTACAGTGTATCGGCATGATTTATACGAAGACACGATTTACGCAATGGTGTTATCCGCATAACGAAGCAGACGTAGTGAGGCAATATAAAAAAAAAACCGTGATAAGCATACATCTGACCACCACCCACAATTGGCATTAGCAATAACGTGGCATGGTTAAACACGGTGAGCTTACAAAACAGAGGTCAGCATTGCACATTACCTACACGTTTAAAATAATCGTTTCTTTTCAAACTGATATTATCGGTACAGTACTGCTACTGTAAAACGTGTTAATATAAAAAAAAACATGTAAAATACTGAGCGTGTAGTATTTGTTAGCATCACTGCCGTGTCACCATAGTGCCCGAAATGTACAAACGCAAGGTCAACACCAGTCGCGCTGGAGGTCACGTCGGCGCGCATTACAGCTGTAAACATTTAGCAATGGCGTCGTCACACGGTGTGCAAAAGCATAAAACGCGACAACAGCTCCGGCCTTCACTGAAAGTGGCAGCAGGCAACCCACGCCACTAAAAGCGATACCCCCCCCCCTCTCGGGACCGGGCTCGCGAGTGGCGAGTAATCCATCTCTCCACGAGCAGTTGCAACCGCAGAGTGCTGCAGAATTGTTGCCAGCGAGTACTGGATCAAGTCACGACGTCGGTGAGGCGAAACACGTGGGACGCTGCGGCGCGGTGCAGCCAGTAGTCCTTCAGCTATGCCACACGGTACATCGTGTAAAACAGGCCACCGCAACATGAGCTGGGGAAGAGTACTGGCCACAAAGGCCCGAGAGCAGTCGGTGTCTTGCGACGATCGTTTTAACCTCTGCGCCATCAAGTATCGTGCTGCCGTTGCTAGTCCTCTCTTCGGGTGAGGAGATAAAAGTGAATCGGTCTCAGGAACTTCAAAGGTCCAAGGTCAGGCATAGATATTAATGGAGCTTATACGAGCTGCACCGGCATATGAGCCCGTTGATGAACTTATAAAATAATGTTTCATACAGTCAATTCTCATCGACTGCCTACCCTCTCCTCCCTTCCCCTTTCGCTGTCCAACTCACCCCAGCTCTCAAGCACGTTCTGACTACAAGTAGTGCATTGTTAGCATGATTTATCACCTTAAAATATGCAAAATATCATTGTGAAACTGAATGAAAGTTTTGATCGCACTGGAAATGATTGTTGCGTAAGGCAATTAAAGAAAGTGATATATTGCCTGAATATATCAGCGGTGCAGACTTTGGAGCGGCTTAAAACGTCCTCCGTGAACAAGACTTCACATGCTCTAGTCAATTTTAAGTTTAAAAAGATGCAAACAGTAAATCTCGACAGAAATGATAAAGATTTCAAGAGGCTACATGTTGAAAGAAATCGTGACCATCTTCAGAATATTACTACATGAAACACAAGCCGGACCCTTAAAACTCTCCAGACATTTTAAACTAGAAAACTATTTAAGACCACAACTGTGCTATTTCTCTAAATATTACAGCTATTGATGCGTCGAGCTAATCACGACCAGCTTCAGATTATGCGCAGAAGAGTGAATGTTCCTCCCCTGACATGTTGACAAATGAGGCTCTCAATGGAAATGACAACTACACCTCCTTTTCTCAAACACCTACCACCAGGCATCATTAAATCCACTGTATTAATAACTTAACAAGACCTTTCTCTGAGCAATACACCATTCAATGGAAGACTATGTTTTAGTTTCGACTCAAGAAAAAACTACTTGAAAATTATTTTTTTACCGAAGCTCAGTGGACAATCTTATTTTCTGAGACGAAGGTTCTTGTTGCAGATATATTTTTGGCCAAGCCCCACACAGCTCCCAATGATAGCGGTGGAGCGTTGAGAAGGGAGGCCGATGCTGGTGGCATAGGCACCGGTGCCCCTCGCGATCCCCACCCAGCCGAGTCGGGCCTCGTAGACACGGCGGTGGCCGAACGCTCAGAAGTCATCGTCGTCCCCGATGTCCAGGTAGATGTCAAAGGCTTCGCGATTGCAGCTCCCTTCCGGCGTGAACATGTACTTGTGGAACGTGCCATCCACACACGCAGCTGGGGGTGGTGGGGTGGCAGGAGAAAGGCACAACGCACGTCGCAAACTAGAAACAAACGTTGATGCGACAAAGAACTGCCTGCAACCTCGCAACACAAGATGCTAATGCTATTTACAGTTTTCAACCTTGTGCCTCGAATAATTTTGAAGTTTGTAGATGAATCTTAACAGGTGACGGCCGTTGGTGAAATACACACTCGGGTTACGTAATATCTTTGGACAGATGTTGTTGACAAAGCTATGATTCAGCACTCCAATTATAGTGACTCGATTGCAATGATTATATCCTCACGATAAGCTGACATAGCCCCCCGCCTTGCAACAGCCCACAACACTATTATGCATGGTGGTCACCCATCAAAACACTATCCACGCTCATAGACAGCAGAAGGCAGTGCAGCATCATCTATTGCTGTGCTGTTAATGTAAATGCTCCTCACTTTCACAAATCTGAAATTCTCAGTGTGGTGAAGTTTGGTCAAATAAACCCCACAAACCAGAGGCATGGGGAAGCCCTCTTCCTGCAGTAGACTAACAGATAGCTGTGCATGTACAACAGCTATGGATAGCGGTTGTTGTCAAAGTTTAGATTCATTGCACTAACGATGGCCTGCTGATAGCAATTATTCTATCGTCATAAGTAAGCTAACAATACAATTATAAACCATGATTAAATCATAGAGCTCGCTCCAACTGGAACATCGATAGGTACAGAACACAGTTATCGAGGCTAAGCGCGTGTGTGTGTGTGGATTATAACGGAGCTCACCGATCACCGAGTTGGTGCTCTTGGCCGCATTGCGTCCGAACGCGCACACGCAGGAGCACTCGGCCGGCACCGTGAAGGAAGCGAGGCTCCACTGGGAGTCCACATACTGCCCGATGACCGGCCCCACCTTGCCCACTCGTGCCAGACTGTGGTGCACAGTACAACATTCCAGTGTAGCTACAGCACGGCTGTGGTGCGGTTATAAAAAATGATTATACAAATTCCAACTCGACTCAGAGGCGTGAGGAACCACAGACAAGTGGGACATGCAGCCAGTTAGTGAGCTGGTGTCAAACATTCTGTCAAGCTCTGCAATCCTATAGATATGCAAGTGTTATCGACCGAATAATGAGTGTTCATCACATGTGGGAATAAACCGGAGCACCTGGAGAAAACAAATGTGTGAGGGGGCAACACTTTATCCCATATAAATGTAACCGGGGAGTCTGTATTTGCTGTACCGCATTCTCCTGGCAAGCCAGGGCATGGCACCTCGACACCCACAGAAACGGAGTTTCACAACATTTGTGTGATCCACCGACCCTCACCACCGTAGTGCTGGATTACGGGCGGGTGCAACTACTGCCGTGCCACTACAGAACACTTGCCAACTCGGCAACCACCCTCCTGAGATGGCTGCATGCTTGAGATCATTACATGGTGTTCACAAAGCGAGACACAATAATGTCACCGTTAGGCAGTGTTAAAATTGTTTCCATAGTGATCAGAGATCACTTGTCCACATTAAGCCCCTGAGACACAAGGCAGCAGTAGGTACTGACGGCTTTACTGTATTGACGATTCCTAACAAAGATGAAATCAGTATATAGTGGTCTCCTTGTCCTGTCGCTATATAAAATAATACAGTGATAATTTTCACGTTTTTGAGTTGGTGGTCTCACACAAAGCTGTGCAACGGTGATATACATCGAGCACGATCATATCACGAGACAAGCAAGACATGATGAGATGACCGATCCTATGGTCAAGATCGTGCCCATCGCTGCTTTTGCATGCATACAAGTTTTTATTTTATTTTTTATCTGTGCAGTCTCGTAATTTACAAGAGGGTTCGGAAAGGTTTGAACGCAAGGACTCACGTGGAGGTGCGATTGAGGTGCGTGTCTTTGAGAGCAAACACGTGCACCGTGCCCTTGTCGCTCGACACGCACAGGAAGGACGAATCGTGGCTGAAGTTGATGCTACAAAAGGAACAGGGGAAAAGAAAAAAAACATAACGCACCGCAGCATCGCTTGCGCTGCGCGAGGTAATGTACGTGTTCTCTAGTTTCATGAAAAAAAACCTAGCCAACTACAATGACAACACTGCAGACAATTTTGAAATGTTATCTGCATGGTCACAGGCCAAAGAAAAGGAATATTAAGAAAAAAATCAAGGCACAACTTTATTTATTTATTCATTCGCAATGGAGCATCTCTCTACGAGTGCGCTCAACCCAATAGGATATCTGTGGGAAAATAACTTCATAGCTCATAAGATTCCTCCAGGATAAATAAAGATTCTGATGATGATTCTGAACCTGTCTGCCATTTTTCCTTTCATTGTAAAAGCACTCCAGCAATAATTGGTTGTTATTATTATTCTCATGTCAATTATGATTTGGTTTTGATAAGACTCAAAAATTGGCACAGCATCAACCTAGCCAAATGACTGTAAACACTATACTATACAGAAGTACTTTACGTAATGTACATTGTTACTTTTAATGCACGACACAACATGATTACAATGACAGTCTATGTGTAACACTCATAAATATGACTACAAATGTATTTATTATTTTTGTTATGAAAAGTATATAATGGCTACATAATAAAAGTTATTACCAGTACACTGCACATTCACTTCGCCTTTGAATTTGGTCATATGTATCTGATGGCATCGGAGGGGGAAAATATGAAACTGAATACAGCAGTTGTTTTGAGCACTGCGGGCCGCTATAGTCACGTGATCACCGATACCGAAGTGAGCATGGGAGGGGGAAGGGAGCTGCGGTAAGAACAACAACCCCATCACGAGAAGAGAGAGACGGCAAAGCAGGAAGGGGGAGCAAGACACAGGGATAGCGAGAGGCAAGACAGACACCAAGATGGGATAAAATAGATCTACAGAGAGAGACAACCAGACAGGCATAGGGAGACAGGGACAGAGAGACACCGAGAGACAAAGTGACAGAGAGCAACACAAACACATAAACTCATTGACAGCGGAAGCCAATGACAGGGAGATAAAGACATTGAGACAGAAGCTTGCCAATTTATTTGTTGAAAACTATTCTTAAAAAGTGTTCAGCTTAAAAACCATAAAGCATTTGGTTTAACAGTAAAAATCATTAGTCGTTGCATTCCTACTTGTATTAGGAAGTACTTTAAATACATCTCACTTTATCGTATACGCTTATATTGGATCCAACTACAGACAGCGCGTTGCAGAAGACTTGGGGTCAATTCTTTTTACAGCTACAGCAGCGGCATTGTTAGCTGAATTTATAAGTACTATGAAATTGCGATTGCCACTAATTACGAATCACACAATTACAATCGTTAATTGACGCCAGGTCTGTACCACGGGGGATGGCAGCCCAGCACGAGACAAGCGCCACACGGGATACCACCTACCAGTAGAGCGTGGCTGGGTCAGCACCGCGCCTCAACTCCACGAGCTTCACCTTGCTCTGAGTGTCAAACAGGCGAATCAGAGTCCCCTGCCAAGAGCATGAACGCACACATGTGTACACATTATGAGACAAAAATCCCCCGTTATAGCCTCAACAGGCTGTACGAGCAAGCGGCACTGTTAAAGAGCAGCACCTATGAAGGAACACGAGAGGGTGTTGTCGCGAGCACCACGCCCGGCTGCCTCCGTCTCCCCAGTCGTAGCGTTTACACATCGCACCAGACACTCAATTGAGGCTCGATCAACCTCGGCGAGGCCCAGCACCATCAGATAAACGTCACTGATGTTGGATATGAACGGGCAACAACCTTTGGTCACTAGCAGCAGTGTGCCAACCACTACACTACAGCTCCCCACAGACATACAAACAACAAATTCTATAACAAACTTTTGGAGAAAGTGCTGCTCGTGGGCACCGATGAAGGCCGGCACGGCACACAAGGGGGTATTGTAAGTTGAACTACTTTCGCACCATACGTAGCCAACCGTGCTAATTAGCACCACGCCCGGCCGCCTTTGTCATCTCCCTCGTGGCAATGTTTTCACACTGCAATAAGTACTACATTGAGGCCGAGCCGAACTACGGGAGGCCCAGGACAGGTTCAGATAATTGTCACTGGTGTTGGCCATGAGTGGGAATCGAACCCGGGTCGCCGGGTTCGTAGCACAGCACGCCAACTCCTACACTACCGCTCCGCAAAACAGACATGCACACACATGCTCGCACACAAACACAGCCCTAAAGGTTACTATGTTCTTGAAAGCAAATTAATAATTTCTGAAAAATACAAATTTAATTAAGTTCACAAACGCCCACAGGTTAGCTACCTCACGTCGCTATGAACCCGGTGACCCGAGTTGAATTCCTGGCCACAACTAACACCAACAGCGAGTGATGCTTGAACCAGTCCTGTGCCGCCCCCCCCCCCTCTTCATCAACCGGCACTGTCCCAGTGTGCCGAAGTATGTTAACAAATCGACTATGCAAGCAATTACTTAAATTACTTTTGGCGTGCTTGTCTGGCATTAAAACAATTATCGTGTGTTGCAACAGCCGTAGACACGCCGACAAGCATGTGCCTGCAGCTGCCGACGCATGCCCGAGCCCAGCCACACCAGTGCAAGATAGTATTCGACTTTGTAGACTTTGTATTCGCGCCCCTTTCCTTACTACCCCGAGATGAATATACTACAGGGCATCTGCCCAAGGTTGCTTATAACCTTGTTCAAATTGCCTTTTGTCAAGACTGATATATTAAAGCACAAGATGAATAAACTCCCAACAATGTCAGCTGCGAGACAAAAAGCATGACCAACACTCGCGCTCAGGGGTTAAACCGCCACTGGGGAGTAGGTCACGTGTTTAATTTACTTGGTATTTTGACCTTGGGGTCAGGATTCTATGGGGGTCAAAATACAATCTCACACTAGCCGAAAGTGGCAAAACTAAAGTTTTTCATGCAGTGTTCATCGTTTATCGTATTTAACGTAAGGTTATGCGTGGGTATGTAAATACACAGTGTGTGTGGATATACCCAGTGCTGTACACATGGTGTGGGGTGCAGTCAAGACAGGGTTATTCTGATTCAACAATCAGTGCAATTAACTGAAATTGTTGTTTGGAGATCGGCCGTGACGATGGAGGGAGAGGCCTCACCTTCTTGGAGGCAGAGGCCACGAGGCTGCCTGGCTGGTTGAGGGCGATGCAGGCGATCTCGCCCTGATGAGCGTTAATGGTGAAGGGCGCCGATGACGTGCCAGGCTTCGTGTTGGATAGGTCCTAGCGTGCCGAGTGACAAAACCAGAGGGCATCACCATGCGGCGAGATGGTATACGCACTCACCGTGCTTCATCGTGGAGTATTGCGTTGTGAGAACGTTTATGAACAGACCTACGTTATGCATCTGCACACACAAACGCTGCTGGATAATACTGGTGTGTTAAAAACAACAGGGCGATGACTAGAAATATATTTTTGTAAGTGGAGACACAGGATGAAGATATGATTATAGATATGATTGCCTACAGCTGAACAGAGAGGCTGAGTATATGTGTGCAGCTCTTCAAGCCACAGCTGTATTCGGTCCTGACCACACTGAGGGTTATGTGACCATACTTCACGACGTTGGTCAGTGAGGGTTGGTAAAGGGAAGCAACATAGACATTGGACCATTGGAGGTTCAGTACAACAATGGGTTTACCGCCACTGCCCCCTGCTGATATTGTAGTCCCACAGCAACCTGTTATGCATGGCGATCGCCCATCCAAGCACTATGCAGGCTCAACACTGCCAAGCTTCCGAGATTTGACAAGATAGGGTACATGCTGGGTGCTTTTGACACGGGCTACCAAACAGGAAATAAACAAACAAATCACGGCAAACTGTGAGGAGGACACGAGTCATTACTAAGATAGGATGAGTCATGGCAAGGATATCCTGGTTTAAAATAAAAATACACACGCCTGATTGCCAAGAGAATGAGAGTAATAATTAGACAGAGGCAATTTAAAGCTTTCGTGACTGCAGGGATTCATCTTCTTGGTTCTTTCGGTAAAGTCACCGAAAGAACCAAGAAGATAGACAGAGGCAGTGCTAGAAATGTATCTCTGCTTGTTTCCATCTTTCTTTCGTGTGGCATTGGAAAAGTAACCGAATGAGCTTATAACTGGATGTTCTCAAACAGATTTCATTTGTGATGATGCATAACAAATATTACATTTGTGACTCCTGAAAAAGTGTGCATTCGGCAATGATTTGTGCCATGAGAGATGGATTGCACGTGCAGTCTGTAGTCACAATTAGGTGGCTTATCCTCACAGAGACAAAATAAACACGTTGAGACTCGCATACTCATAGAGACCCATACTATACGTAACAATGATGGGAGTGATGGATTGCACTTCCGCACAATCACAATTCGGTGACTCCTTGATTTCCCACTTTTGGAGGAGGTAGCTACACAAAGTCCCCTATGTAGTGAAGGGCCTCACCACCAGCTGGAGGCTCCCACACTTGTGACCTGGAAACACGAGCAAGGGCTTTTCCAAGCTGGGGCACAGTTCGCACAGACCTGCAGATAAAGACAACAGGAGGTATGACGTGAGGCGATTTCTCAACCGTTAGGAGATTTGGTCCCCATCCATCGCCTCATCCCCTCACCCGAATCGATCTTCAAGCCCACGCCTTGACAGCCCCTCTTATTTACACGATCTTGTGGAGTTGGAAAGGGACTCCAATAATAATGATAGCCTGCTGGACTCTTTCCTATAGTTATCTTTTCTATCCACGTTGTTTTGTTTAGCATTGCCCAGCTAAAATTTGGACATAGTAATAGAACTTGTATGATACCTCAATTAAAAAATTATGCAACACGGTTCACGCGCCAATGACAGTATTGTTCATTTAATGTTGTAATGAAAAATATATTTATATAAAATAACAATTATATGTTACAACAGCAAAATGTTAAGCCAAATTTTATTTTCTGCGAAAGATTACTATTAACTCCTAGATTATCAATTATAATCTAGTAGTTAAATGAAGCACATTAGTCAAAGAAAAAAATACTTTCCTGAGTCAAAGAAAAATAATGAAACATGTGACCAGTAAGAAAAAGCAGTGTTATGAAGTATAGGCCCCAGTGGGACCTGCGTTCTTACCGTCTGGATTGTCTCGTGTGTCGAACTCAAAGATTTTTTGTGGGTTGTCTGGGAAGGTGAAGACGTAGATGCGGTACCGCAAAACCACAATGATCCTGAATGAAAGAGACATTGATGCCTCATGATGGTTCATGAACATAGATCACTCTGCAATGAGCAAATCCTGCCTTGACAACCTAAAAAGGATTGTATTTCTATAATCTGATACAATGCCATTTGATTTTATTACGATGTAAAACTAATTTAAACAGCAACATCAAAATATTACAATATTTCAATTTACAAGTGCGACTCTACATCGACAAGAGGGCATATATAATTCAAAAGGCAGTGTCCATGAGTAACACAGAGGATGAACTGCACAGTCAAACAGAATGTATTATGGGTCATCTGAGGCAGCCCTCAACTGTCAAAGAACATCTACTGTCGCCTACAGACCTCACCTGTCAATATGCTCAATCATAATGCTGCGAGGTCCCATGTACTGGGTTATAAAATTTTTTTTTTTATAAAGGACACATTTCTCAGGGTTCATTCAAGTAGCCATTGGCAAAGCCTGACTCGCTAAAACAGAACCTATCAACATGAGAACAGTACAATTACAATCCATTTACACTCTAGACCGGTTGAATGTTGACGATGTGTTTCATCCTTTGACGATTGTTTCACCTGCGCCACTGACAACATACTCGTGAAATCAAAATGTTTAGCGTCACGCCTGGATTGACATTAAGGAGGTTATTGAGCAGGAGCTTAGCTTGGTTGGCATGGACCCTCGTGTAAGAAATTTAATGGGGATCCCTGTGTCCAATTACTCCCCCCCCTTCATAGATTGGCACCTAGCCACCTCAGGCCTGTGGACCCTGGAGCAGTTGTACCGCATGCACTCGACTCGACAGCCACGCCGCCGGTATTGAGTAACATTTTGCACGTAGCGTTTATGTAACACTGTAGCAGCATACATTGGCCAAACAACAAAGGCAAATTCCAGGACAAAAGGGCAAATGGCTCCGCAAAAGGTCAAGTAGATGATGGCAGGGGGCGGGGCGGTACTTTTTCTGCAGGAGTGTCCGGTGCGTAACCCACTTGTCGTGGCGCATACGGACGGCCAGCACGGCGCTCGTGAACGTGAAGTCCAACACCAACTTATCCCGGGCGTCCCGGCCCTCGCGCGCGTCGTCCCACACAAGAACTGCGAGCGCACCGTGACAATGGACATGCACCCAGAGCTCCCACTCCTCCTTGTGCTTCAGCAGCAATAATAGCGACCGTTCTGTTTACCATACAAGCTTAGCCCGAGGCAGTGAATGTATATCAGTCATTCCACCAGCGCACAGTAATACATCACTGTTCTGACCGTTTTAAAGAAAATAACGAAGCCAATGTTGGTGACGAGTGTAATGTCACATTAATGCTCTGATTAAAAAAAAATACTACAACACTTTACTTGTGAAATAATGTATTAGCTATTTTATACATTGAGCATAATGACTTTACTTACATATGTTCCATTAAGCAACATATAACTTAAAACACGTGGAAGCTCTGTCAAATAGCCTGGGGTTTTTAAACTATATTTTCAGTGGGCCATGGCACCACGATGTCAAACGTATGTACACACGTTGTCTCCAGCTCTCACACCTCTCCCTTCACTATCGTGCTCTTATCTTGGAAGTCTCTTGTTTCTTGCATCGTACTCGCTGACTGTGGTCTCGTTTATCGCAAATCGTTATCTTTTCATATCTCGTGACGATCCATATCTCTCTGTGGACCAAAGGTCAGCAGACTAACTGTTCGTAGGCCAAGTGTGGCCCACGAGGCCGCTAAAGAACCCTTCCATTGGCTATACACAACTCAGCTGCATGCAAATTGTTACCAATATAGAATTCTAAGGCTAAATACCAGAACAAATAAAGTGATTGTTACCAGAGTTGTCAGCAAATTTGGGCGAGGAGCCTCCACCAACCAAGGCGAGAAGGTTGGAGCGATGCAGCATCTCCACTCTCCCAACACTGCCCACCTGATCGACATCTGCAAAGAGGAGGGGGGGGTGGAAACAACACGTTCCTTTGGAGTGGGCAGGTAGGAACTTGGTTGGATAGCGCATTCGTGCGATCCGTGTCGCGCGGTGCAAGCTGCGTGGGGCGTCGCGTCACATGGTGCTGAGCCCGCCCGAAGCGCTCTATGAAATACAAATCGAGGGCATGACTATGCACGAGACAGCCAGACAAATAATCCCTGGTGGGCAGTGTGGAACTGTTGTTCCTACCTGTATTAACGCTGCACCTGAGAACATTTGAATGTCAGGTGAGGGGATGGGGAAACCTTCCCTTACCTAGGTGAGCCTTCTCCATGAGAGGCTCCACGTTGTAAATCCTCAAGCCACTCTCCATGGCACAGCAGAAACAGCCTGGAAGTGACAGCATATAAAAGAAAATGCGTTTGTGTTCAGACAAGCATCTGTTAACAAGTCGCAGATGGCACAGGACCAAGGGTCGGCTTGCTATCGCTGTGACAATGGGCCACGAGTGAGAGCGGTGTGGCACAGTTGGGTTGTACCAAATGTTGTTTCGGCGTGATATCCGATGTTTTGCTCCAGTTTTTGAGGGCTGCTTGGGTGCCTGAAGAAGCCCTCGGCACGTAGAGCAAAGGTATCATGCCAAACAGCGCACGGTACAACCCGGAAACACATCACAAAGCTGTAAAGCACAACCGCAAACATCTACACAGTATTCATAATAAAGGTTTTTGGGCGAGATCGCGTTATTTATAAATGTGTCACAACCCTCCACCACCCAACATGGCCAATTAGTAAAAAATGTGTCACATTGACTAATGACAAATATTTCACTACTTTAGCGCACCAGTGTGTTGAAGAATGGATCCCACAACATTTACAATTTGAGTAGTACGACGTTTCGCTGGAAATTACATCCAGCATCTTTGGGCGATGTGCCAGAATAGTGAAGCCATCCACCTACTTCCGGTCTTAAATAAAGCAGCAGGACATCATCATTGTTGAACCCCATCAGGATTCGAGATCAGAGGCAGAGATGGGGGTGATGCAATTATGTAATAGATCAGTAATCAGCCACTTAGCATGTGACTCACCTGTAAGGAATTGAAATGTGTGTTGTGTATTACTTAATACGCTTCCAGGCTGCGCTGAGTCTAAAGCTATCACAGCGATTAAAATTATTTGAATTTTTCTCAATTTCAATTGATTCTCTAACCTTGGCCAGTAATAATTAGATCTGCATAACACTTCAACGTTATCAAAATGAATTGAATGTCCTTGTTGGCAAGCATGCTCTGCCACTGCTGACAGCTGTGTTTTGGAGAATGTAATGTTCCTTAGGTGTTCATTTAGTCTTACACTGATGCTACGGCCCGTCTGTCCAATATAACACTTACCGCATAAGCAATTGATCTGATATACACCTTCTGTTGCGAACCTCGGTAATCGGATAACTTGTAGATTTTGAAGATGTACTCTTTAATACACCAGTGCGCTAAAGTAGTAAAATATTTGTATTTTGTCAACGTGACACATTTTTTACTGATTGGCCGTGTCGGGTGGTGGAGGGTTGCGACACATTTATAAATGACGCGATCTAACCCAACAACCTTTATTATGAATAATACTGGTCGCGAAAGCCTACATGTTAAATCTACACAGCAGTTAACTTAGCTCCTTAGATATGACTGACAAAAGAAAGGGCATGAGTGTGTTGGGACCTGGATTTTGTTTGTTAAATGTGAATGCCTCTACGGGTGCAACTTGAAAAAAGATTAGACTAATGTCCATGTGGGCTGCTTATTAAGACCATTTTGCTGCCATTTCGCGTGTGGTAATAAGTCCACAAATAGCGCAGGAAACTTTATCCACTACCCAAACTCGTGTTGTGAAACGTGACTCTTCTGAAACGGTCTTTAACAGGTTGCTCTTCAAAAATACATTTAATACAGAATTATGAATAAAATAAAGTTAAATTATAACGAATAATAAGAAGGCCCTTTGACAATCCACCGCTGGATGAGGGCCTCCCCACGCCCTGTCAGTCACGGGAGTTGTTTTGATCAGTGCGAGTTGGTGAATGGAGATCCCAGAACTTGTTCAGATTAACACTTTCCATTGACAGCCTCAAGCAGCTGGGATCACAGAGCAGTGCGCTAACCACTGCGTTAGCCCACTTGTTGATAAGCTGTTGTTTCATATTGAAACGCTCCGTTACAAGCTGGAGAAAGCAGAAGTCGCCCCCCCCCCAACTGAATTCCAATGTTTCGTTCAAATCCATGACGAAGTAATGTATGGAAGACAGCCATGGCTATTGAATGTAACCCTTAATTAAAAGTTCACTGAACAAATTGCAAGAAAACTGCTGCGTATGTATTACGAACGTAGACCTTACACCCGTGGAATTAAATAGAACACGTGGCACTTTCACAACATGAGTGCTGCACATCAAGGCGAGTCAATGGCTTGAAAGGATGCGAAGTGACCTGACAATATGATATTACCGTACTGCTTACCAAAACTGATATAGACCGCGGACACAGAAACATCAATGCGACATCCCTCGGTTAACACGGAAACTTTCGCGACCAATATCATCCATAATACAGGTGACATCTGTCGTGTCTGCTGGTGGTAGGGTTGGGATGACAGCTGTGAATTTTCTGGTGTTGGACAAACGTGAACCCTTGTCCTTTGTATCTATCGCAATAGAGCATGGGCCACGAATACGGCTGTGTTAACAACGTCACACGTAAACATCGTGTCGCGCTTGCGATTCTTCATGGGCACGAAAACATCGGCGTCAACACAGAGCGCGTCGTCACACACGAGCGCACATGCCTCCCATTCACAGCAAAAGCCCGAGGGAGAACAACAAAGTCGGACATTGTGATAAAAAATATAACACACACCACAGACTGCCCTGAACGCATTACTACTACGACTACTGTACGTGGCCATTAGTAACAATAGCGCGCGTTAAGTGGACGAGCGGTAGATGGTATCAGATATCGGATGTCTTGAGAATTGCCTCTTGTTGCAATCGCCAGCGGTTCTACTTCAAAGCAGACATTCAGAAAGGCACGCAAACAAGACAGCAGGCCAGGCCAGTCAACCGGCTGGGTGAATCAGCCCTAAGCAGCCATAATTTATGAAGAGTAGGGCAGCCTTGTTATCGGCAGATGGCGATAACGGCTGACACACACACACCGCACACACAGTGTGTGTGCGGTGTGTGTGTGTCTGGATGTGTGTGTGTGTGACACACACACGGCACACACACACAGCGCACACAAACCACCGCGCACACACACACCACACACACCCATACACACACACACCACACACCGCACACACCACACACACACCACACACACCCCACACACACACGGCACACACCCACACACACACGGCACACACCACACACACACACGGCACACACCACACACACACACGGCACACACTCCGCACACACACACAGAGCACCCATGGCCCCTCTCTGTCCAATCCACTGATGGGTGAAGGCCGCCTACCCGGCCATTCAGGTCGTGAGGGTTTATTTTGCCCATACTTCACTACGCTGGTCAATGTAGCCTGGCCTCGGGCAGCATAGACGTGAGGACATTGATACACAAGTGGTGTAGAAACACAATAGAGGTTGTATTGGGGTTAGATCGCGTAAATATATAAATGTGTCGTTAAAACCCGCCACCAGGCTGTTCCTGATGAAGCTGGTTGTAATTCCTGGCGAAACGTCGTACTCAGATTGTAAATGTTGTGGCTTGGCTCTCCAACACACCGGTGCTGTACTAGTATACTACACTATACACTACACACTAGTGCTGTACAAGTATACTACACTATACACTAGTGCTGTACTAGTATACTACACTATACACTAGTGCTGTACTAGTATACTACACTATACACTACACACTAGTGCTGTACTAGTATACTACACTATACACTACACACTAGTGCTGTACTAGTATACTACACTATACACTACACTAGTGCTGTACTAGTATACTACAATATACACTACACTAGTGCTGTACTAGTATACTACACTATACACTACACACTAGTGCTGTACTAGTATACTACACTATACACTACACACTAGTGCTGTACTAGTATACTACACTATACACTAGTGCTGTACTAGTATACTACACTATACACTAGTGCTGTACTAGTATACTACACTATACACTACACTAGTGATGTACTAGTATACTACACTATACACGACACACTAGTGCTGTACTAGTATACTACACTATACACGACACACTAGTGCTGTACTAGTATACTACACTATACACGACACACTAGTGCTGTACTAGTATACTACACTATACACGACACACTAGTGCTGTACTAGTATACTACACTATACACTACACTAGTGTTGTACTAGTATACTACACTGTACACTACACACTAGTGCTGTACTAGTATACTACACTATACACTAGTGCTGTACTAGTATACTACACTATACACTAGTGCTGTACTAGTATACTACACTATACACTACACTAGTGTTGTACTAGTATACTACACTATACACTACACACTAGTGCTGTACTAGTATACTACACTATACACTAGTGCTGTACTAGTATACTACACTATACACTAGTGCTGTACTAGTATACTACACTATACACTAGTGTTGTACTAGTATACTACACTATACACTACACTAGTGCTGTACTAGTATACTACACTATACACTACACACTAGTGCTGTACTAGTATACTACACTATACACTACACTAGTGCTGTACTAGTATACTACACTATACACTACACTAGTGCTGTACTAGTATACTACACTATACACTACACTAGTGCTGTACTAGTATACTACACTATACACTACACACTAGTGCTGTACTAGTATACCACACTATACACTAGTGCTGTACTAGTATACTACACTATACACTACACTAGTGCTGTACTAGTATACTACACTATACACTACACACTAGTGCTGTACTAGTGACGAATTGCCACGTTCTGTTTACGTGACAACCCTTACTAGTTGTCTGTGCCGGGTGTTGGCAGGTTTTAACGAACGACACATTTATACATCGACGCGATCTAACCATAAACAACCTCTATTATGGATGATATTTGTCGCGAAAGCTACTGCGTGTTAAACAGAGTAGAAACAATAGATTCGGCTGCACTGCTGTGGTCGATGACCCAAGCATCCCACCCCAGGCTCAGCCCTGCTTAGCTTCTGAGATCTGCCAAGATTGGAGCTGATGTCGGGGTGAGTTTGTCGTCGGCCCTGGTAAGACACAGTTATTCAAGTCGCACAGCGATGAAGACTTGTCAGACAAGGCAGGTGAGACAGAATAGACAGAGGCTTCAGTCGGTCACGCAGACACGGGGCTGGCCCACCACGGACTCCACGGGGACCCTGCCCCAAGCTCCATCCTTGCCCTCAGAGCCCAGGGGCAGGGGAGAGGGAGCCAGCCCCTACATGGCTCCTCGATTCCCTTCGCCCCCCCCCCCAACTCCTGGCCCGTGCCCCCCATTCCGGCACTGAACTCAACCTGGAATTTCCCCACAGAGCTGCCCTCACCCAAGCAGTCACGCTGCTACAGGCTCTAACCATGGCCCCTCTTATGTCCGATCAGAGGTCCTTGCACTCCTCCTGCCTCCGGGCCATACCCTCGTATTTGGCCGTGCCCTCTCACCACAAGGCCCTCTCTCGTCTGCCAAGTGCCCCGTTTCTTTGCCATTCGCTTCACGCTCTCACAAACTCCCTCCGATTCCCAGGAAAAGCCATCACGTCCCTCACATTTGTCCCCCTCCTCCTCCTCACACTCCACGGCTCTGGCTCACACATCCTGCCCCGCGTCCGCTTTGTTCCGATTGCCCCCAAGCCACGGGCACCGTTCACTCACACGACTCGTGCCCTCCACAGATGCCCCCCCCCCCTCTCGCCCCCCCCCCCCTTTATGGCGCCCCCCTCACGTCGCCCCCCCCCTCACGACCCCCCCTCCCCCCTCACGGCCCCCCCTCCCCCCTCACGGCCCCCCCTCCCTCACGGCGCCCCCCCCTCACGGCCCCCCCCTCACGACGCCCCCCTCACGACGCCCCCTCCCCCCTCACGATGCCCCCCCCCCCTCACGATGCCCCCCCCTCACGACCCCCCCTCACGGCGCCCCCCCCTCCCTCACGGCCCCCCCCCTCCCTCACGGCGCCCCCCCCCCACTCACGGCTCCCCCCTTCACGCCTCCCTCCCTCACGCCCCCCCCCCTCACGGCCCCCCCCTCACGGCCCCCCCCTCACGGCCCCCCAGCTCACTCTGCTCCTGGTTGAAGCGCAGGCTGTTCACGGCACGCTGCTGCATGGTCAGAGCGCGCCAGCTGGGCCTGCCGCCGTCACGACGTTACTGCTCCTCCTGCTCCTCCTTATTAATATCACTCTTCAACTTCTCCTCCTTTGTCTTCGTCTCCTGGCAGTAGTCGTCGTTGTTGTTGCTGCTGCTGCTGAAGACGAAGTCGTAGTGGTCGCGGCTACTGTGCGGGTAGCGGTGCCCGGGCGCCATGGCCTCGGACCCGCGTGGGCTTCGCTGCTGCCGCCGCCTCCTCTCGCACCGCCACCACCACAACAACAACACCGAGAGGCGGCGCGCCGGCCGTGCTCTCGCGAGACTTGCAGAGGCCCCTCCTCTTCCCCCCACCCCTCCTCCTCTTCCCCCCCACCCCGCATCCTCTTCCCCCCCACCCCTCATCCTCTTCCCCCCCACCCCTCCTCCTCTTCCCCCTCACCCCTCATCCTCTTCCCCCCCACCCCTCCTCCTCTTCCCCCCCACCCCTCCTCCTCTTCCCCCCCACCCCTCCTCCTCTTCCCCCCCCACCCCTTCCCCCCACCCCTCCTCCTCTTCCCCCCCCACCCCTCCTCCTCTTCCCCCCACCCCTCCTCCTCTTCCCCCCCACTCCGCCTCCCCTTCCCCCCCACCCCGCCTCCCTTCCCCCCCCACCCCGCCTCCCCTTCCCCCCCCACCCCGCCTCCCTTCCCCCCCACCCCGCCTCCCCTTCCCCCCCACCCCGCCTCCCCTTCCCCCCCACCCCGCCTCCCCTTCCCCCCCACCCCGCCTCCCCTTCCCCCCCACCCCGCCTCCCCTTCCCCCCCACCCCGCCTCCCCTTCCCCCCCACCCCGCCTCCCCTTCCCCCCCACCCCGCCTCCCCTTCCCCCCCCACCCCGCCTCCCCTTCCCCCCCACCCCGCCTCCCCTTCCCCCCCCACCCCCGCCTCCCCTTCCCCCCCCACCCCGCCTCCCCTTCCCCCCCCACCCCGCCTCCCCTTTCCCCCCCCACCCCGCCTCCCTTTCCCCCCCCACCCCGCCTCCCCTTCCCCCCCCACCCCTCCTCCTCTTCCCCCCCCACCCCTCCTCCTCCTCCCCCCCCACCCCTCCTCCTCTTCCCCCCCCACCCCTCCTCCTCTTCCCCCCCCACCCCTCCTCCTCTCCCCCCCCCACCCCTCCTCCTCTTCCCCCCCCCACCCCTCCTCCTCTTCCCCCCCCCCACCCCTCCTCCTCCTCCCCCCCCACCCCTCCTCCTCCTCCCCCCCCACCCCTCCTCCTTTTCCCCCCCCCACCCCTCCTCCTCTTCCCCCCCCACCCCTCCTCCTCTTCCCCCCCCACCCCTCCTCCTCTTCCCCCCCCACCCCTCCTCCTCCTCCCCCCCCACCCCTCCTCCTCTTCCCCCCCCACCCCTCCTCCTCTTCCCCCCCCCACCCCTCCTCTTCCCCCCCCACCCCTCCTCCTCTTCCCCCCCCACCCCTCCTCCTCTTCCCCCCCCACCCCTCCTCCTCTTCCCCCCCCCACCCCTCCTCCTCCTCCCCCCCCACCCCTCCTCCTCTTCCCCCCCCACCCCTCCTCCTCTTCCCCCCCCACCCCTCCTCCTCTTCCCCCCCCACCCTCCTCCTCCTCCCCCCCCACCCCTCCTCCTCTTCCCCCCCACCCCTCCTCCTCTTCCCCCCCCACCCCTCCTCCTCTTCCCCCCCCACCCCTCCTCCTCTTCCCCCCCCCACCCCTCCTCCTCTTCCCCCCCCCACCCCTCCTCCTCTTCCCCCCCCCACCCCTCTTCCTCTCCCCCCCCCACCCCTCCTCCTCTTCACCCCCCCACCCCGCCTCCCCTTCCCCCCCCACCCCTCCTCCTCTTCCCCCCCCACCCCTCCTCCTCTTCCCCCCCCCACCCCTCCTCCTCTTCCCCCCCCCACCCCTCCTCCTCTTCTCTCCCTCCTCAAGCTCACGGCGCATTTCTGGGAGGCTCAACCAGGCACACGCGGTCCTGCCGCCATCCCCCAACCACAAAAACAACCACGTTCAGCAACACAACCACGTTCAGCAACACAACCACGTTCAACAGCAGAACCACGTTCAACAACACAACCACATTAATCAACACAACCACGTTCAGCAACACAACCACGTTCAACAGCACAACTACGTTCAACAACACAACCACATTAATCAACACAACCACGTTCAACAGCACAACTACGTTCAACAACACAACCACATTAATCAACACAACCACGTTCAACAGCACAACCACGTTCAACAACACAACCACGTTCAACAGCACAACCACATTAATCAACACAACCACGTTCAACAACACAACCACATTAATCAACACAACCACGTTCAACAGCACAACCACGTTCAACAACACAACCACATTCAACAACACAACCACGTTCAACAGCACAACCACGTTCAACAGCACAACCACGTTCAACAGCATAACCACGAGCGCCGTCCACGTGAGCGAGCGGCGTTCCTCGCGTTCGTGTCAAGTTCAACTTTTAATTTTGTTTTTGTGTTCCCCGGTGTGATCAAGTCAGGGGAAGTGAGAGGCCAGCAGAAGATGAATCGATCACCTGGATGGGTCCACCCACTCCCAACAAGCGCGGGATCCACTCGGGGTAGCCCGCCCTTTGCCCGTACAAGGAGCTCTGAATCATGATGATGTTTGTTTACTTCGGAGGAACCCGATGAGCTATGAAGCTCTTTTTCATAGACGGTCCAGGCCAGAATATGTTAAAGCCTCTCTCGCTCTCCCTCCTCCCTCCATCTTCTCGACTCACTCCACTCTCTCTCCCCCCACTTCTCCCCCCTCCACTCTTTTTTTACGATCAGTGGAAACAAGAAGATGCTCGGTGTAGTCGGCACTCCACTCTCTTCTCCCCACTCCCTCTCCCCCCTCCGTCCCCCGCTCTCTCCCCCCACTCCACTCTCTTCTCCCCACTCCCCTGTCTCTCCCCCCACTCCACTCTCTTCTCCCCTGTCTCCCCCCCCACTCCACTCTCTTCTTCCCACTCCCCTGTCTCTCCCCCCACTCCACTCTCTTCTTCCCACTCCCCTGTCTCTCCCACCACTCCACTCTCTTCTTCCCACTCCCCTGTCTCTCCCCCACTCCCCTGTCTCTCTCCCAACTCCACTTTCTCCCCTCCTCTCTCTCCCCTACTCCCTCCCCCCACTCTACTCTCTTCTTCCCCCTCCCTCCACACTCCCTCTCTTTTTTTTTTTAAACCGGGGCTTTATGTTGCGCTCGCTCGCTCGCTCTCTCGCTCACTCGCTCGCTCACTCTCTCGCTCGCTCTCTCGCTCGCTCTCTCTCTCGCTCACTCTCTCGCTCGCTCGCTCTCTCTCTCGCTCATTCTCTCGCTCCTTTTCTCGCGCTCACTCTCTCGCTATGTACGCCGCCCCCCTCGCAGTCCGACGGCCTCCGACGGGTAGCTCATAACAGCATGCAGAGCTCCCTGTCATCTGCCACGGAGCACACGGCCTCCTCCATCGCCCACTGCTCCTTGAAGGCCGGCACGGCGTGGGTCAGCCGCGCATGGCGGAACTCCCCCCACTCCCTCTCTCCCCCCACTCCCTCTCTCCCCCCACTCCCCCCCACTCCCCCCCACTCCCTCTCTCCCCCCACTCCCTCTCTCCCCCCACTCCCTCTCTCCCCCCACTCCCTCTCCCCCCCACTCCCTCTCTCCCCCCACTCCCCCCCACTCCCCCCCACTCCCTCTCTCCCCCCACTCCCTCTCCCCCCCACTCCCTCTCTCCCCCCACTCCCTCTCCCCCCCACCTCCCTATCTCCCCCCCACTCCCTCTCTTCTCCCCCCTCTCCCCCATTCTCTCGCCCCTCCCTCTCCTCCCCGCTGGCTGGCGCGCGCTGTTGCCGTGGTAACCCCGCAGCCCCGAGGTCGTCAAAACTTGTGGCGCCGCGGAGCCAATCAGAGATCGTTATAGCCCCAAGGGGGGCGTGGTTACAGCCATATATGGGCAAGGGGGGGGGGGCACGAGCGGCTTTGGGGCTCGCTCATGAGCCAGCATGCGGCTCTTTAAAAACATTACTTTGTGACCCCTTTTTCAGTATCAAAGTATGAAACTAAACCAAGAATAGGTTTTATCCTTTCTGGAAATAAATAAAAACCTCTTGCAAGGAATCGTCTGCATAAACCACACGTGCTTGTGGTGAACATGCAAACAACACATGCTCTGAAGGCTCTCCTCTGATGTAAGCCAATCAGTTTCAAAGACAATGCAGATATTATCCACGTAGAGTATATACTAATACCTTTACACTTCTCGACGCCAGCGTTTTATTAATCAAGCGTCGCGAACAAAACTGAAGGATCGATTATTTTGTCCTGTGCCCCTTCCTGATTGTGCTGATGTATAATTCTACTCTCATTCATTCCACTGTGTACTGCTCGTCTGTAGTCTGACTTGTTGGCTATCCCATCTGCATTGACGTATTTCTCTGTCGTGTACTTTGTTTTCCAATTTGCACTGCCTTTGTGTTGTATTAGCATAACGTGGATTATAATTTTTTATCCCTAAAGTTTAACGAGTTTGGCCCCATATTAACTCGGGTCAACACGACTGATTCCGAGTTCATCTGTTAAATCTAGACGAATTAAGTTCCATGGCAGGAGGGTTTGTCATGTTCTAATCCTGTTTTTCAAGTGCACGGTTAAGTCGACGTGGACAGCCCTTGGTCAATCCACTACTGGACGAGAGCCTCCCCACACCGTCCGTGTTGGCCACAAGGGCCATTTGGTCATACTTAAATCTGGCCAGGGAAGGCAGGTCAATGGCAAGGACCATCAAGTACAGTATAATGGATGTGTATGCTCTGCCCTCTGCTGCCCACGGCGTTGCGCAGTTTCTAACCTGCGTGGTTGTCATACATCCAAGAACGACCATACAGACTCGACCCCAATGGCCATAAGCTAGTGTGCCCCTAATGAATCCAGTTCCATTTCAACAGGAATTTTGGTCGAATTATTCACGTATCGTTTCAAAACACGACTGGCTTGCCAGGTAGGCAAGTCCACAAGCTAGTCATGACTGCAAGTCAGATACACTAGGACATCAAGGACTTAGAATGTTGAAGTGCATACAAAGTTTGAAATATGACAAGCAAAGTAAACAAACATTTATTATAACAGAAAAATAGAACAGGAATGTCCAGGATTGGAACAAAATAAACATATAAACACTTGCTACAGGTTTTAACACCGGAGAAATTATACAAATGACTAAAAAAAATAATTTCAGAAATACTAGTGGTCTGCATAGCAGAATTCAGGACTATAAAAAGGTACCTTGGCAACAAATAAAAGTACCCTTG